CCAATTCATCCTCCTACCTTCTCCCCTTCTTTCCACCACACTCTCATCTGACATGTGTACTGCTTGAGTTCCGTGGACAAGGCTTTGACACCTCATACATCAAGCACCTTTGATGCTTTACTTTCATTCACATTCATGTTCTCCTACTTTTGCACACTCAATGTCCAGGAGGAAGCATTCGTTGCGTCAATTCATCTCTGATTTGTAATCGGGACTGTGCTTGATTTAGCAAACCATGGCTGCTAATCGTGGAATGCTCTCCACCTTTCAATGGGCCTTCTTTTGCGGCTGCGACACTTCAGTTGGCCGCCTATGGTGTGGACTAAGTCCCATGCCCGGTGGTGATCACATGTGTAGATGCATGCATTCACGTATCCGTGCTCTCCCACCCGAAGTTGTCCGGCGCCTTGTTTTTCTGATGCATCACTCTAAAACTAAGCATTTGTGCTAGTGATTAGCCCAGAATCGAAATCGAACGGGCACTTGATTTGAATACATGCGTTGTTAAACTATTTCATGATAGCTATTGGCACTTGCATGTAACGCATTGAAACTTGCGACAATTTAGATTAATCGATGCTTGAGTCTTGACTAGCTAGAAAGTAGTTCAGATGTCTGTGTATGAAATGCAAGGTGAGTCGGAACATCTTTTGTGGGTGTGTGAGCTTGAATTATATGACACAGTGTGACATTTGAACTTCTGGCAGTGCGTGGGCATGTGCTCGTCACAGATTTAGTTACCAGAATTAATCCGACAAGCAGTGGGATACTTCAGTGACCATCGGTGGGTCACGCTGTGCCTCGCCTCGATTCGTGCATCTCTTCTGTGAGTACTTGTGTCCGCGCCCACTGCTAGGGTCTGTGTGCGTGTTTGTGCTCCAAATCGCTGAATCGACATTAGCAGGCACTAATCCACTGCACATCGCCTTCTTTCATCCAAACAATGGGCTCACCCTGAATCACATTCGTTTTCGCTACTGGAGTTCCACTTTTTAATCACTGCCAAACTAAGGTATCTCATGCACTGACGACGTTCAAAATGGTAAAAATCCTTTTGCTCTTTTCAAAGGGTTGAAAAGTGTGTGATCAGTAGACAGCCATACCCATAAACGCGGATCAATGGCCACCGCAAGTTCAGTCACGTTAGCTAAGTTAGTGATACTATTTGGCTAGTTAGCAGTAGCAGCACACATTTGCATACTCTCTTTGAGGAGGGTCTTGGTCAGTTCATTGTTGACGACTCGTCACGCTCAAAAGCCTTAAAAACTGCTCTTGCTTTCCACAGTAAATTACCCAAGGCTGTGGTGCAATCTGTTGGCATCGTTTATTTTAACGAATGCAGGTCGGGGTCTGCCAGTGGATTGTGATCGATCTTTCTGACAATGTCCTTATTTGAAGGCCTTACATCATTGTTAGCCTTGCCTCAGAACTATATTTTAGGCCAATGTTTCAGAATGTTGCTCCTTTAATTAGTTTTGAGAATGCGCCATTTTCATGCCGTAGTATGGTAGATGGTAAAAGACGTGATTAGCTTTACGCCGTCCTTTCATTTAGTGAGGATAAGTAGGTGATGGCAAAGAATCTCATTACTCACAGGAGTATGTAGGGGCTTTGAATTTTGCGATTAGCTGACGTTCCACCTAGCATGCGACGCTACCGCCCTGCAGCTCCACATTGTTGTAAAGTCTTAGCAATTTACATTGACAAACTGTTTATCTGACACCTATTTAATATCACTTACGAGGGAAATATTTTCATCTGATAAATAGTGCCTTACTGTATGTATAGTTGCTACTTTCCAGCACTTAACTCCATGGCTTTCCAGTGCTTTGCTGTACAAAATTGGAAGGAAATGGAAAAGAGGCCCTTTGCTACTTTTTTTAGCGGACCCCTGTTCTGTTGCCTGATTCCTCTCTGCTGTCCTCCGTGTAAGGACGTGGAGCACCTTTGTCCCATCTGCGGTCGCTTTTTGGGCTCCCACCAGCGCCTCTGAATCCTGCTGTAGGCGCTGCTCCTCGGATGACAATCCCATTACTCCTATCCTATAATGTACCTGATTCATCTCCTTTGCTTTACAGTTTGTTAAAAGTGTGCCCATTGATTTATTCTATCCCGTGCGAATACACCGATTCTTGTCAAGGAATGTTCCTATGTTAGGCAAGTACATACTCGTCCCCGTACTCCACCTCACGCCTTATAACAATGTGGGACCTTTCATGGTGCTGTCTGAATAAGTAATGGAAGTTGAGCTAAGCACATCAGTGGGTGCTGGGGCCAGCGAATAGCAAAAAATAACAAACTGGGTCTTGGGTGGCTTGTTATAGCGGAGGTGGCTCTACTTGTGGGATAAATCTTACGCGTTTCTGTGCATTTACCACTAAGATTTGACTCAAATCTACTTTGGCGTTTTTTTTTTGAGAAGTATTACACCATTCGTTAAACGACTTTTGGGAAACCAACATGATTAGCATTCCGAAGTACTTGAACGAAATTCGGAAAAAGAGGTATTTTTATCTGAAGAATTCTGCATTTGGGTTTTTCATTAAAACTTTTCTGATTTCAGTAAACTCTATCTTCCGCTTGAATCCCCTTCTTTCAAATACGGGTTAGTGCAGCCTTAGTAAGTTTACAACCGGCCTTGGCTCATATTAAGCAACTAGTGTAGCGTCCCGAGACTGCCTGAAGACGAAAGAAGACACAATACTCGGGCAGAATATATATATTCAGCACGGAGAAGGTGTCTGGGCTACTGGCATGGCCCAAAGGCCAGCCCACCCGGCGAGGTACAAGGGGGCTAGTTCAAAGTGCAAAAGTGGCGCCTCACCAGAACCGAGGGATAAACCACTATCGTATTACACTAGGAACGGTTTATATGGAGACCAATATAATTTTATAAAAAAGCTTAAGAGCAGGGAAGGAGCAAATGAGCTAACGTTGTGTCAAGATGAAGATGTGCGACTCATTCCTCTATAACTCACGTTGTTTTGCAGGAACAGTTGCGCGCATACTACTGAAAAGCCTAAAAAGTAGTGCTTTGATGGCATGACCAGTTCTGAAGCACAAATGGCTTCTCATCTTCGAAATTATCGATATAGTTTAAAACATTGCAAGTTTCGATTTCTTCAGATGCAGTCATTTAGATTTCCATCGTCTCACAAGTGTCATTTACATTAGTGGAAAGTCATGTTTGCTGAAATGTGACAAAGTCTTTTTCAAGCTTAGTGTTCCGCAAAAAGTGTCCTCTCGGGGACTTCAGTTTGCTATTAGCAGAAGTATTCTGAAAGCACCGCGCTAGCTAGCAGAAGCAGTATTCGAAAATGAAGAGAACTGCTTGCTAGGCATTGAAGTGCATTCACTAATTGGATTCCTGCTAAAGACCTTTTAAAGGCCCAAATTGAGCTACTTAAAGTGGATGATCCGCAGGGACTTAGTTTACTTTGCACATCCCTTTAACATGCCTCAACGGCCACCAGCAATTAATTTTCAAGATATCTGCGGCGGTGATTTCGTTGTGAAAACCTCCCTTGACGCATATCCATTGCTATAGCCTCTAAACTTGATTAAACCTGTACCACAATAATACAATTTACAATTATACCACTTTTAATTTCTTTTGATTGTGCAAACATGACTTTGCCTAGTTTGACGATACCGTTGTTATTTTTTAGAATCCGTGATTTTTTTTATGTCATTTGCGTCATCATAGCAATGTATTGCTACTCGAGACTTCCCTGAAGGCTACTGGCATGTTGTAGGAGCCAACTCATCCCGCAAAGACGCAATGGTAGAGCCACAAAGTCCCCTTTATCAAAACCGAGAGTTAAAGGACCAGCGTATTACAAATGTTCCTTATAAAAAATGGGATCTAAAAGTAGTTTTATTCTCTAACATGACTAAGTAGTTATCATCGATACTGCACCAAAAAAAGCTTCTGTGGTGTTTATAGATGCATTTAAACATCGGAATTTCGTATTAATTCATGGATAAATGCACCTTCCAGTAAGTTACCAAAATCGGATTCTCTAAGCAAAGGAAAACATTATGGATGGTTATAAGAGATCCCTTAACTTTGGTTGTAAATTCTAGAACTAGTAAGTTCAAAGGCAGCGTAAACATTTACAAAAAGACAATTCTGAATTGGTAAAGGTAATGGCTCTATCTACAAAACACTCCTAACCAGCATAAAGAAGCAGCTTATTTATGTATACTCTATTCATGCACAAATTGAAGGTGTTTTACGGGGAGATCCCGATCGGCCTCTCAACTAATAGTAAAATTACCTTACCGAAATTTCACCTCTTTTGAATTAAATGCATGTCTTGCGACGCGAAGGAAACAATGGCCCGAAGTACAATGACGACTCCGACTCATTGCCATGGCACCCACGCCCGCCTAACGTGAGCGTTACTAGTAGCGCTAGCGCACACCCCACATCTGCGTTACGTTAAGCCCTTTAACGCGACCTGAAGCCGTCTGTATATCCACTCTTTCTACTTGATAGCAGCAATTCACAATTGAGTACTAGCCCCTCCCATAAAGTACATCACCTCCCCCTTGAAGGCAATGAGGCGTCCGAAATTCGCGGAATTTGCACTTCCTAAAAGACATTCAGCACCCCATTAAAGGCAGCAAGAGGGATGAGGCCCTGTAACCTTCCATAAAATAAACTAGCATGGAATTAAGCTTATGTATGAAGATGATTAACAAAGTTAGAAAACGAATGTCCAGACGATCGCTGCTGCTAACATCTCACCTCTAATATCAGGCAAACAACGCGTGGATCCCGGCTACCAATCCTGCTGCAGATAAGATGAAAGTAAACTACCCTACTATTTTTGAACGAGCCTACGCCCCTTTTTAGGTACCAGAAAAGCAATTTTTGGAAAATCATGCTTCAGTAAGAGCAAGACAGAGGTTGCGCGACCTTTATCCCGGTCTTAAGAGAGTTTTGTCAAAAGACACAAGTGGGAAAAGCAAAACCAGATCTTATTTGGTAATTGGCAAAGAAGTTGATTGTATCAGCTGTCGGTGAGCGAATGATGCCTGATTGGTCGCAACTCTAGGTTGGGAGGTAAGCAAACTTAAAGGCGCCTGTAGATGCCCAGCACTCGATGGCAGTCTGGACACTGATGCTCCACATCCTTGCACGGAAGACAGCAGAAAGGAATCAGGCAGCAAAAAAATGGTCCACTGTCAAAACAAAGTTCAAGTGTACCTAAAGGCATTCTGATAGCAGTGGTATTAATAAATACCCTTATATAGAAAAAGATTATCAGATAGATGCGCCTAAACAAGCGAATACTGCACTTATACACGGTTAGTCACAATCTACAAGTAAGGACTTACCCCAAAACAAAAATGAGGCAGCAAGAAAGCCAGGTAAGTCTTCCGCTCTGATGATTCACTTTTGTAACAACTGGACGGTTACAAGTTGGACAAAAAATCTGTTGGGAGCGAGAGGATAAGGTGGATGGCTGCTGAATGACAACCGTCGTATGAGCTGAAAGGCGGAATATAAATGCCTATGATTTTCTAGAAAAAGGGTTTTGTTAAAACACCAAAATATTGGGGCAAAACTTGAAACCAAACTTAATCAATTGACATAAATAACTTCAGTTTATTGAAAAACGGCCAAATAGTCGAATGGGGAGTATAAAATATCCTTATCTAGGAGTTCTACTCTGTTAAGGGTTTGTTTATTTTACCAACTAATTTTGCTATGTATACAGTTGAGTTACAATAAAAACCTTCATCGTCAGGGGATGAAAGTAAAACCAATACTTACTCGGTACTCCAGAAGAATACTGTGCATGTGCAAGGGTCATGGTCGAGACGCTGAAGGTCCACAAAGACAGATACGTTAGCAAAAAAAAGAAATGCATTTAAAGATGCAGACGGCCTTCTACCCACACTAGATTAGAAAGAATATATACAAGCGAATAAGATTTCGATCATGCAACAACATTTTGAACAGCCGACTAGAAAAGGCAACTAGATAAATTCCAGTTAAAAGCATGCCAGAGAAAGAATACAATGCGAGTAAAAGGCACTGCAGGATTAAAAAAGGGGCTTAAAGCAACAGAGGAATAACAACGTGCCCGAAAATACTTATTAAAATATGAAAATGAGTTACCAGGTAAAGTTTGGGCATAACGTTAGTAAAGCCCCAAAAAACTGAAAAAATCGCTTATCTTAAATCAGGGGAAGTACCTTAAAAATGCGGCGAAGGATCTCAACAATGACAACTTAACAGAGAATCGAATGTCGGACAACGACCTAATGGATTCACCTAGGTGGCTTAAACAAGATATATTGCACAGACATCCTGCAAATAGAGATTACTGTTGTAATTCAACTGGTTGCTGCAATAAATATGTCTGCTTATTTTGAGCAATTTAGAACGTATTGTGATCCCGCTGATCTGTCACCGTCACTAGCCTTTGCTTTGCATAAGTAGTTAGCCAAATAACAGCGCGGTACGTACTAGTCTTTGGGGGCAAATCACTTGTGCCAATTTATAGAAAGGATGCTGGGTTTGTACTGAAAAAGGAAAACATCCCAACTTTTAGCAGATGCAAAATAAAATTTTGCCTACGATCTCCCTTCCCATTTTCTTAACTTTTTTATTACATACTACTTTGCCTAACGCCGACACTATTGGCGATGATCGAAGAGAATTTTTTTTCACCCCACAAATTCATTCAATTTCCTTTGAAATGAACTTTGAGTTCGGGGGAAAATGTTTATTGGTGCAGGAAGTGTTCTAATCAAGAGGGTGTTTAGATTTATGGTTTTGATGTCTCTTTTTCGTTATCATTTGTGGCTGCTGATTTGTTAAGTATGCTTGATCAGTTTACTTCAATGATTCCGCGTGGCGCTTACCAAGGAACATCAGTTGTCTCTGCATCTCACGGAAATAAAGCTACTCTCAGACTTGCTTGTGTTATCTGTCTTATTGGTGGGTGTATTTATGCCCCATTTCTGGCGTGGCTCCTCAGAACGCGTGCCGCGTCCACCTGATTATCTTCTTTTCAAAATGATTCCTTGTTTATCAGTGGGGACGCTGACAGAGTTGACTGATGGTCAGCGATAAGGGATCTCCCCCATAAGTGGCTGGAGGAAGATTCCAAGCCAACACATTTGAAGTTCAGTAATGCGTTGTTTCATCGGAGGTAAATGCAACGTCCCTGAGGCCCGCCCCATCACCACGTACCCGTCAATCTCCCTACCGCTCCACGCAAACTTGCTCGCTGGCAGAAAAAATGCATTGCTCGTCTCCACCAGGGCCTTTCTTAAAGCCACTCAGCAGCCCTCTAATTCTGCTAGTGTTGACCAAGTGTTGCTTTACTGTTGGTTGAGCTTGCGGAACCCACCAAAGCCATGGAGGTAACTTAGAATTCCGCCAGTGAGGTTACCCATCCGAGGACGATATCACCCCCTGGAATCCTCATTCTCACGACGAACCCTTCTCGGTGAGTCCTTGTCATCTCAGCAAGTAGTTGATTTCAACTGTTGGGGTGCGCACGATTACTGGCGCACCAGTTTGGGCACCTAGTTTTAGGGGGAAATGCTTGCTACCACGTGACTGGTGCATTTGTCTTGGCCTAAGTCACACGACATTCTCTACGGAATTCGATCGCCTCTCGCACCGAGATTTGTCTCAAGACCCGTACACCAAAGTGAGAACGTTGGAAACCGTTTCTAGAAGATGACCTAAGAAGCTGGTAAAGATTGCAGTCTGGATTCGTAGTCCCTAGAAGTCTAACTGGGGGAACATCTCATAAAATCAGGACAATAAGACTGTGATTTAGGTATATATAGCGAGCGCATTAGCTTGTAGTGGACGTCGATTCCGGATGAGTGGTGTAACCAAACGAAGAGCCAACAGAGGAGCTATGAATGTAAGAGTGCTTTTGCGTGTGAACGTAAGGCCGAGTTCAGGATTTCGGTCACAGCGCGATGAGTGGGAAGTGAGGAGACGGATAGTAGGAAGAATACGGTAAAGGGCAGAGGAAAGGGGACACGCGATGGCTCGACTTGGGATTCGTGCATAATTCCGGTGAAAGACTGCCCCACCACGCCAAGCCAGTGTGATCGTCTCTGCCTCAACCGTTGTTTAATGTAAAAGTGCAGGCATGTCTGTGGAAGAATTAGGGAGGGAGGGCTAGGAAAGGCTCGAGAACACCTCATGGTAAAAAGGCGCGCTGGGTGTGTTTGGAAATGCAAAAAAAAGTCGATGGGAAGGGTTTACAAGTAACTAGTAGATGTAGACAGAGAGACGAACATCATGTGCAGCCACTGGCGTACTCTAAAAATGAAGAGGTTTGAAAGGGAGTTTCGGAGAAGGTAGCTTGTCGTAAATTTCTAATCGTGGTGGCTATGCTTAGAGCCAAAACAATTGAAATAATTCACATTTGATAGAAAGATAATATATGTGGTAGCAAAATAAAGCCACAAGCTGTTAACGTGTCAACATTAGGGAGCTTACTTGCAGAGCCCCAGATTCGGATTTCTCCATCATCGTTGACCGAAGCCATCATGGTGGGGATGGCGGGATTCCAGTGAACTCCGGTGACAGAAGTCTCGTTACTGCTGGCCGCCATTGACGAATGAATAGGCCTGCTACCTTGTGGACTGCCCACACGCCAAATGTGGACGAAGCCATCTAAGAATGGGTGTACGGGGAGAAGTTAATGACTAGGAAAATAACGGAAAAAGGGGATCTCCATCGAACAAAAGAAGAGAGCATAAAGGGAAGCGAAAAAAATGCACTCACTCTCACTTCCGCAAGCAATGAAGTCCTCGTTGAAACCACAGAAAGTGTAGTATAGTTTTTGCTGAACTTGATGATGGCCGTAGAACCGCTGAATAATACCATGAGATTCCAAGTCCCAAAGAATTATTCCCTGAGACACAACAAACACTTTCTTATTTGAAGCTGTAAAGCCAATGTTGAAGGATATTTGTTAAAATTACCAAAGGAAAGGATTGTGCCATGTTTTTATGGAACCATGAGATATCAGCATGAACCCCAGTTTGAATGCAACATTTACCATCGTAAGGAAAGGATTCATCAAAAGGAACATAATTGTGCATCTTGAACTATCGAACTAATGAAGTTACAAACTTGTTCATAATGCTCGTTATCTAAAATTACGTGGAAAGCAATGCAATGCCCACCAATCATTAGGGTTTTGGGTTGGACTTTGTATAAGAGCAGTAGATGAAGTTGTCCACAGGCAATGTTGTGCGAAATGCTAATCAAATGCTTCGTATCTCACACGACGATGCTATTTTAAAATTTTATTTCAAAAGAAAGTTAACAGAGTGAGTTCATTCAAACCCATTGTTGGGTGGAGAACGAAGACATAATTCAGCGTATGTACAACATCGCGAATGAGTGGGCAAAAGTAGTACGGGGGAAGACCTACCTTTGCGTTGAGACCCACGAGAAGACGCTTGCATGAGGGCGAAAGTACAATGGATTGAACAGGGTGCATTTCCTTAATCAGAGTAGCCTGATGTAGGAGACTGTATACCTGTCCTTGCGATACCGACGCTGAGGCGGAGTTGGAGGCAGAGGCGGTCTGCGTCGTGCCCATCGCTGCCTCCGTGTTCGTTGAGACCTCCGCCGTGTCCGAGTCACCCTCCTGAAGTCCCGAGGCCATCGTTGTCCTTGACACAAACATACAGAATGGGGATATTCAATCACTAGAGTCACAGCCTGTGGCATACCAGATGTGTTACTCCAAGATAAAAGATCTCGATAATTTCAGCAACTGAGACGACATTCAAGTAACGCAAGCAGAAAAGGCACCTAGTATGGTGCATCGAATCCCTTGAAATTTGCAACGAGTGGACAGAAAAGTCTGTTAATTAAAACCACATAAGTGAATTCCTGTCATCGCAATAGTAGTGATAAATCCTAATGGATAAACGCTTCCTCTATAATATCTTTTTTGAAGGTAGCTGGTACCTACAGAAACCGAACAACTATGCCTTTGTGTTGCAAGCTCCGAACAACTCCGATGAATGACGGTGCCAAATACAGTGACAAGAAACCACTCAAAATGAATAATTGAAATAGAAATAGGTCTTGAATTCTATTTCTGAGACGCAATAGACCTACAAATTGCACTGGCATTCGGTGCTACTAAATCAAATTCCTTAATTCATTTGTCTTAATTAGGGAGGGGAACGTACAAGACTTTTTCAGCTATACAAAATGTCGTCTTGAAGTTTCGGTTCTTAATCAGCCTGGATCCTATGCGAAGACTTTAGCCTGGGAAATCGTGTATTTCTACAGGGTGGTAAGTCTTACATGCGTGGAAGCGTTTGCCGGCACCGAGACGAATGAGTTCAGGAATAACAAAATCGTAGTTTACCTAGTTGAAAGTCTCCAATCTGATACGGATTGCACTACATAGTTATGGTGCAACATACAAAAAACACTAGTTTATTGAAAAATGATTTGTAAAGAGTGTGAATTACGCAGCCGCGGTCCCAGTTCGTGACGTATTTCCGCCAGCACTGGTACTGCCGCTACCGCCACCACTAGCATTGCCGCGAGGGATTGGAATGGTCGAGATGCTGCCTGAACGCCAGTAGTAGTTCTGCATAATGCTGGGAAGGGCAGAGGTCATGACCGTGGCAGCAGCGAGAGAAGCGGGAAAAGAAGAAAGAGGGACTGACTCGACGGTATACCCAGTGCCGACGGGTCCAGGACCAACGAGACTGGAGGCGCTCGACGTGCTACCGTCCCTGTTGATGGCTTGAAGTGCGAATCCAGGGCTGGTGAGACTGGGCTGTATCTGAACAACTACTTGCTGTGCCAGGCTTCCGAGGTTTCGTGGATCTCCGGCAAGACCTAAAATACCCGCTTTGTTTACTATCTGTAAGCGTATCTCGCCTAGTAATGTATTCTAAATCGTTGCTATTGCCCGCAACATAAAGTTCCACCAATTAATCAAATTTTGTCCCCAACTTTCAAGTACAATTCGATTCGTATCGTAAAACCTATTGATAAAACCCATTTGAATAGTCTAAAACATGAATGTCCGATAATTTTAACAATAAGCTCAAACGCCACAGAAACTGGTAGCATCGATAGAACAGCAGCAGCAGCAGCAGCGGTGTCACAAATAACATCATACCAATGACAGAACCAGGAGTGCTGGCAGGTTGTGTCTGTTGCCTGCCTATACCGAGGACACCAAAATTGGAGTCAGAGGTGGTCTGACGCATAGGAAACACATTAACCCCACCCGGAGTGCCAGCGGGTGGCGGTGGCGGTGGTGGTGGTAGAGGAGTCAGAGGGACACCGGCAGGGACTCCTCGACTTCCAACCCGAGAGGAAAAGAGGGCGTTCTGTAGGGCCACGATAATGGGGGCCACACTCCCCCCACGGTTAGCGGACCACATATCGGCTTCCTGAGGCAAGACATTTCCACGGCCGGCGGAAGCCGCAGCAACCACGCCACTGTCACTTCCAGAGCCCGAAGTGGTGTAACCAAAACGGAATATGCGGATGCGATACATGTGATCAACAATGAGCAGTTGATCAACGGGTGCGAGGAGTTGTTCCAGAGCGACAGCAGCAGCCGTCGAAGGACTTCGTAGCGATGTATTGGGGTCCATCTCCATCGCGGCCTCGGGTGTGAGACCAGCGGCGAGGGTGGCTGCTACCATGGCAGCAGTGGGTGCTGGTGGAGGAATGATGGCAACCATGCACTGCACGCGGCAATACTCGTGCGTAAACAGCATCTTACCGTCATCTTCAGTGTCCTGAATAGAAGACAGGCTATTCGAGGCCAAATGGAAAGTTCACTTTCCAAATATTTCAATAAAAAGCATCATTCTCATTCAAGTGCCTCAGTTACCGCAGTCTAGTAACCACCATAACATAGTAGTGGTACAAAACATCCATTTTGCTGTTTACTTTCAACTTATTGGAGCAGAAGCACAAACCTGATAACATGCACATACTAATGTAATGAACATTATATGGATATAGGAACTACAGAGACGGAACTTCATAGCATGCAAGTAAGTCTCTGGAATTGTGTATAAAGAGAATACCGGCTCACAATGATGTAGAAGCAGCCGCCTTTAAGGCCACCAAAAGCAAGCTTTCGACTATCGGCAAAGAAAGCAGCCGTTATGTAGACGTCTTCAGTCTTTTCCAGTTTCTGGCACACCTGCCGTCGAGTGGTAACATCGAAGACCATAATTGGTTCAGGCCGCAAACCACAGCAAACAGCAAGTCTGACAGATAAAAAAAAACCCGGTCAAACAAGAAGTCTGTTGGATTGTTTGTATATTTTTTGTTGAGAGAACTTTTGTGACCATATTTCTATCTATAATGCTCCAATAAAGCGTGACACAAACAGATTCTGTAATTTTAAGAGGTTCTACTGAAAAAAATTCCTACCCAACACAAAAATAGACCAATTAGTTCTTGATATCGTTACGATTACAATTTCACAAGGTTATGAAGACCCTTTTAAAATGATTCTACATCGGTTACCCTGATCACCACTTTAATGCATTTAGGTGGTTGAGAGGAATGTTTGCAAAAAGAATATTTCGAATTTTCCAGGAATTCCAGTAAGGAGCGCTAACGTCATTAATGCACCAATCCTGATTAAGGGGAAACAACGAACTTCCCTCCAAATTACCGATCACAGCAGACAAAATGTACTCTTCCAAAATACGATCCGAAATCACCCAACCGTGAATAGTAATTCAAAAGTATACACAATTCACCAAGTACCCGCAACTAAGACACCAAAGTCACATGTGGGCAGCAAGGAAAAAAACCGGGTAGGATAGGACTGGTAGGCATAAAATTGACGTGAGAAATAGGTACCTCGCATGCAGCAAGTGTGATGTGCAATGTTTGAGGTCCGCTACGCAGATGAGCAGTAGTTTCTACCGATTTAGGCATTCCTATCAGCTCTACTGCACCACGTATTAGGGAGTGCCATTATTCACGTCGTTAATCACAAAGATTACGCTTCTTAATGCTGTGCCAATGTACAAATTGGTCTTTGTTTATTAAATGTAGCAAAATGAAAACATGTATTAATCCCAAACTCTCAAACTTTATCGTTCGGTTTTGTAAGTTTGCATTAAACCCACAATTTAATTTTAATAAAAACGCTAGCAATATCCACTGGATTATCACCTGTCACATCAAAAAATAAAGTGCTCAGTTTTTTTGGAATGCCTTTTAATATGTGCAAGATCACTATTTACTACTTCATCATTACTAAACAATGAAAAGTAGAATCACAGCAAGGGATGGAAGTAAGAGCTTTGCGTTCTGCAACATTAAGCATCGTTGTGAAACCGGCTTTAATAAGTACCATTAATTATCTTATAAGAGCGGAGTTTTGTGAATGCATACTTAATGCAGTACCTTCCTAGATTTGAAATGGCTTTTCTGGGATTAAAACCAAAGTACTGTGTTAATTACCAGGCGTGTAGGTCATAGCGTCAACAGTGGGCACCACAAACCGCGATTCCATATTGGACAATCAAGAAAGCATTATGTTAAAAAAAATTACAAATAGTTAAGTTTCGGCTTAAGTGCAAGAAATTGATGGCTATGTCCCGAAATAAAAATCTTCAGACATTCAACACGGCATTTACCCATGAATCGTATCCGCATAGCAAGTCACTAAATTGCTGACGGAAGATGAAAAGTAGGGAGCTGACGTAAATAACAGAACGCTACAATTTAAAATAGTGGAACAAATCCACTTATTTTATTGATCTGTAAGCAAAACAGTTAGAAGGATGCGATTTGAGAAATGGGTAAAAAAGAGTCCATTCGATTCCTGTCAATCATAAATCTCAATTCTTGGGTGGTATAAAAATGTCGTCAGTGAGGAGAGAGGAAAAAACTAATGGCTTTTTCATTCTCTAGTGCAGTTATTTAAAACCGCAACGAAAGATAGTACTTATGATATTCGCAGTTGAGGTGCGGCTTACTTTTTTGAGTCTGGTGACCAGCAAATATGGCTAATAGATGCCTCTATGGTGTAGAAGGTTCGTGGGGAGTGGATTGTGTGTGATTCTGGGTCAACTTTCCAGACATCAACGTTGGCATCCTTACCACCGGTGGCCAGGTAATTGCCATCAGGAGAAAAGACGCAGAAGTAAAGCTCGCTCTCTCTATGCTCAATTTTCTGAACAGTGAATACAGGAAAGTCCTGACTATAAAGCAAGGAAAAATTGATTACTCCTGGGTTTTAAGATGGCTATAACTTTCTTTAATTTTTATTTTTCATGGTTATAGAGCGCTGATTGCGCCACACGTTCACGCGCAGGCCTACCGAAGCCAATACGTTCCCTACCAGCGTCAAATATATGCTACGCACCCAATTTCTTACCTGAGCCCGGCAATGCAAATACGTGTTATTTACTACCTCATGATGGAGAGTTGCAACAAACCCTGCCACAAGCAATTGAATGAGTTTACAAAAAATATTAATGGAGTTAGAATAGTCCTGGTCTATGACAACTACAGTGTTTAGCTCAAGCATCTGAATAGGTCATAAAACTAGAGACAGCTAGTGCAAAAGTGCAATAATCTAGACCATAATGGTTAATTTCTCTTCGTATTTCCAATGGAAATACATTCTGTGTGTGGTTAAATGTTGATTGCATTTTCCATGCTGAACAATGATATCATTTAGCATCTCACTGCACGTCTGCAAGCTGAAATACCACCAACCAATTTGTTAAAATTGAAGCAGTCCTATCACATGCTGCCTCGCGTTTAAACGAATTCAGTGACTGTTTTTATGGTAGAGAAACTGCTGAAACGAGTTAGTAATGAAAACTTAACCATACTAAACTGGTACTCAATGTCTCTGTGATTCGTGAAGACAAAAATCAGCTGCTAATATATTACGCAGGGGAACCAAAATAAGTGGCGAAATACATCTAATAACGTCACTTGTTGTGCTGGGAATCAAATAGAAATACCCACTACAAATCGGATATTGAAATTCTCTGCTATCATTTGTCGTGTTAAAAGTAAAAGCAAACATACATGCTGCAGGCGTGCGGTTGTAATAATGACATGGATTCCAAAGCATCAGGCCAACAAATTGGCTGTGTGTGGAAAGTGCAGCTTGTGAGCTGAGACCGAACAGCTTCTGTGACTAGAGTTTCTAGCCTGCCCGGTGGAAGCATTGTTTGAGCGGGCATGAAGCGCTGGATACAGTCCACAAGAGCAGCTCGACTCCCACCATTTGTTCCACTCCAGCCACCCGCCTGAGCTCGCAGTTCTTCTGTTGTTCGGCACATGAGGCATCTAAAAGAAGAGCGTTACTGAAAACATAGAAAGTCGAAAAAGTTCATCAGCGCTAAAACCTACTGGGCCAAGTTCTGAAGGCGTTTCTGATCAGGCTTGAGAGGAGTTATGCGATGACGAAGGAGAGATAGGGCAGAGACAACTTCATCAACCTCAAGAAACTCAAGGAACTGTTGTTCCAATAGAAGAAATCGAATATGGGCCAAATTGGATGGATTGTCTATGGTAGGAGCTAGTTCCTCAACGGCTTTTTCAGTCTAGAATCAAATGAGTAGTATTTTATTGGCATATACAAACAATGCATAAAGTCATAGTATAGCTATACAGCATTCCAATCGCCCGATAGAATGGCCGCCCTGAGATCGGTCGCCGGCTGGGGCTCGAGAACAATGCCCGAATCTTTCGCCAATTGCTTGTATGCATTGCTAAAAAGTTCGCCATATAGCCGGGAAATAACTACTTGTATCCCTTGTCACAAAGGTACTGCCCAATTAAGCGAACCATTTCTATGTCGCGCATATGTAAAGGCTTTGTAGTGACCCCATTGAGCTCCTCCGCCACAGCACCGGCTTTAACGGTAGATGGCAGCTCAATTGCTTGAGGCTTCGGAAAAGACATACTGCTCAACAATATTAAAAAGCTGCGTCGAGGTTCTTCAAAGCAAAAAAGGAAAAATTAAGTCAAAAAGTAGCCAAATATCACGGTTCAAAAAAACTGCGTAGTCCGCAGCTGAGCGTTCATATAAACGAATTAACACAAAAACTGGAATTTATAAATAAAGGCACTTCTATGCCCAATCACCACATTTTTTTAAAAAAATTAATTTTTTTGCTTCTGTTGCACGTGAAATTACTCCTGATGCGAAATCTGACTAAGAAAAACATTGTAATCCAAATCCTAACATCCGAAGTGTAAGCAAAATTGACTTAAAAAGGTTTTAGAGATAAAAACAAACCGTCAAGATTCATTCAGATCTAAAGAGATGTTGATTGTAATTTTGTCTATAACCTGTCAACCACAACCTACTAGTGTTTTGGAATTACTTTGGAATAATTCATAATTCGTCTGTCCAAATCTGTTCAAACAGTACTTAAAATTTTTAAAGAAAGTTTAATTTTTAAGGAGATATTTGTGTTATTCTTCTGCCAAAAGCTTCTGTATTGTGTCTTTATCAAAAACACCAGATATTTATACGACGTTTTATTTGTATTTTATGCAACATTCATGGCTAGAAATATGCAGTGCATGTTTTGCTCTAAAGCATATTCAAGATTGCACGGTGGCTAGCTCTACCAGTTTCGCAATTAAGTAGTCACTTTCTTTCTTTCGACCACGAGACTTTTAACATCTTCATGAACATCGCTCAGTGTTCCGCACAACACTTATTTTCTGTCTATCGCATTTCGCCATTTACTACTCGGAATGCTCGATTTACGCTTTCAACGCCCGTGGTTGAAGTTAAATGCGGTGGTAAAATTTACCCGTGCTTTCAGCATCTTGCTATACCCTCAAAATTCCACCAATTTTGTCATTATGTATTTAGCGTCTTTAAAACTTTATGTAATGAAGGGTAATTAGAGGTAGCTTAGAGTAGTCTTAGTGGGTTTTTGTGTGTTATGGAGTGGCCTGCTGCCTGTTCCATTTACCAGTACAAAGGCGCTATTTTCACAACACAAGTGTTTAACAACAGAACGAAGCTGGTAACAATGTGAAAAATTGGTAGTAGACCATAAAAGAAGCGGTGAAAGCAAACCTTGCCAAGGCGTGAGAATAGAAGGAGAATTTGGACTTAGCTGTAATACTTGTGTTATTTTAATGCTCCTTTTAGAGAGGAGGCGGGGATACGAATCGAACCTCGTGGCAGAAGGGTCAGCATTATGCAAGCCACACCCCCCTTAACTCTGTACTAGTTTTCCCATTTACTTGTCCTGGTAAACATGTCAAAATCAAACCAACTTGGGTGTTCCATGAGTATGAGGAATAGGGAAGAGGATGCCTATGAGCCTCGTCCTACAAAACAGCGGTCTATGTGTTGCGCATACAGATTTCTTCAGGGAGTCACCTACTTAAGTTTCAAAGCGTACTTCGCTTGTGTACAACCGTCATTTATTATTTGATTCAGAAGTGGTTTGTGTTTGCCCGTCCGTACTGAACAAGTCTGCGAGCCTGCGATAGGCGTTTAAGCTGTCAGATACCCTGATCCAGAGTCATATAACAAACAAGTTGGCATAGAATAAACACCAAGTAGGAACTTTATTTGTTCCCCAGTGATTATCAAAAGATCGAATCGCAAATCGTACCACTGTATAACCAAATTCCAGAATACACTTTGAAAACTATTTTAGTACCTGTTTGCACTAGCTTCCGAAACATACAACAAGGCACGTAAAGGGCCACGCACAGCTGTACTTAGGGTCAGCAGGGGCTGGTTCCGTTATATTGCTCAAAAATTATTTAAAATATTAGATCTGTGGCCTCTTTTTAAGAGTGGTCATTCTAGCATCTATATAGGACCAAAAAGGCATTCATTATGCAGGACCTTGAGGCTCTTATGACGGTGACAGAAGACATTATCCAAGGAAAGAATATGCATTTTCGCCATAGGGTGAGGGTTGGAGCTACTGCTATGGCTATGCTATTAAAGGTTATTTCGAATTAGAAATATTCCCCAGGAAAGTAAATGACTATGCTTCGAAGGTCTCACATTATAAATACGTCATTCACGCCTTGTGTAATAAATTCTGTTCATTTTGCAAAATTATACATATAAGCCAACGAGTGGGTTAACTTACCACTTAATTGTATTTGCCAATATTATTTTAGTTTGGTAATCCTTAGATAGAGTTTACTTTAACGCGTACATTTGCTTACAAAATAACTGAGCAAAAAACCATGGTTTCTTTTCTGTAAGGCTTGTCTTCACATTTCTATTAGATTGACTGGCCTCTTGATATTGTTCCATCTGGTACTAATTTCCATCGCAACTTTAGCTTCCATTTAACCCTCAAAACGTATTTTCCCCTATTGCGTAAACTTTTGTGCTTTAAAGCCTTAAGCCTTGCTAGAATGAGAGGTAGGAATAAATATTTGTTATGATACTCTAAAAATGTTAAGAAGTTTAGTATTTCGCAAATCGTCTAACTGATTTGTGCAGATCATATCGCATTTGCTGAGCTAATAGATGGATCAACTCTCGTGCTTTGAAGGGATTTGTTTTGATGAAAATTACTTTTTACAAAACTGTTCATGCATTGATTTATTTCATTATTTTCCTAGTGGATTTAATGCTGGCGCATATGCCTGTTAGCCTGTGTTAGTGCCGCCGTACGGCGATCACGATTGGTCTGTGTTACGTTATGGGTATGAGCGTCACCTCATTATGGTACCTCTTCCGGTCTATGTAAACGCTCAGCGCATCAATTCTTTGTCGGAAATGAATGTGTTACTATTCATTTTTTGTTCTGTTTAATTCGTACATTTTATTCCAGTTCGGCATAGTTTCTCGTTGCATGCGCATAATTGAGATTCAGCTCTTCACTCACCAATCACAAAAGATCAAATCTGTGGGCGTATTGGAATTAATTTGGTTATTCATTTTTTTGCAGTTTCGCCACTTTCATGTCGGGTTTTTACGACCACTACTTGTTTTTCCTGTAGGCAATGAATGATCTGGGACTTTTGAAGCCTGTTTGTCTGTTCGAACAATTTTTCGACCACAAGCTCCGTCTCAATAATATTCCGTACGACGAATTTGCCCCTTTTTCGTGCTGTACTGGTGTCATCAGTACTGCAGCTGGTTCGGCGATGGTTTCAGTTGGTGCTACCCGCGTCATCTGCGGAATAAAGGTTGTTTTTAAGTCACTTATATTACAATACGCTTCATTTATTTCTTCCAGCCCTGAAATTTTCAAATAAGCATTGTCAAGTTGTACTTGTAACCCAATTTGTGTCGTGTAGATTCCATGGGTTGATGTTCTTGCGAAAGATATTTGGCTTCTCTTATTCATCTTCACAGGTGAAGGTGCTGCCTTCTCCTGAGAACGCAGCATTACCCCTCATTTGCAACATTGAGCATATGAGTCTAGCGCAGCGAGGCCAGCGCATCAGCCCAGCTCCCTCTAAAGAGCTTCAGTCGCTTGCTGTTCAGCTTGAGTGGATCCTCATCTCAGTCGCGCTTCCTGATGTCAAAAGCCAGCTTCTCATCCATTCTGAAAGAGACGGTGTGGGCGGCTCCTTCTCCTCTGGTACCTATTTGATTCACATTGATGTGGCAATCGTCCTCGATGACGGATGTCTCCTCGACGCTTGTTTGGCTGCCGCTTTGGCTGCTCTCGAAACAGCCTCATGGCCTCGATTAGTCGCAGTTCCTTTGCCTCTTCAGACTACAGGCTCCGCTGTTTCGGCTCTCAAAATGGAGTTCAGGGAGAAAACTCCCATTGAAGTTGTATGCTAGGGAATTCGTCCTTCTCCATTTCCACCCTTGTAAATTTAATACAAAGTAGATTATTATTTCTAGGGAGAATGTTGATACTTTAGTGTAGTTGTTGGTTTACGTCCCAAATGCTATTACTTCGAGTACTTCGTATTTTTGGTTGGGATCCATGAGACCAGAAAATTTCTCGGCGAATTGAGTCTTCGTCTGTTTCCCTTGCTTAGATGAAGCTGGTTTTGTCTGAGCGGCCGGTGGCGCTGTCGTTCGCGCTGGTTCCGCGCGCCCCTCCCAATGCCTCCCTCGAGGCCATTTTTCAGCCGTCTCGGAGCGAGAATCTGTTGTGGGACACCGATGCCTCCATTTGCCGCCTCGTGGTGGATTCGCATGGCCGCGTGGTCGATTTCGCCATGGTTGGCGGAATCGCTTTTGGTCTGTGGCAGCACCTGGACATTAGCAGTACCAGCGAAAACACCATCAGCAGCCTAGTCAGGCAAATTATATCACGAGCAACTGAACATGCACCACTTGTGCGACAGCAGCTGAATGCCAAGAATGACGATTGATTCTTGTTCTTTTAAGGCAGCCCTACACTTTCATGTATCTATTTATGTGGAAGAAACTTGTGTTAATTAAAAACGATATCTAGCTCTCCCCTTTTATAGATTGATGATTTGTCGCGTGACTTGCCCGGAGTGGATATTTTCTATGCTTTTCATTTGGACCTGGTGGGGGGGGGGGGGTTATTTGCTACTTGCAATGAGTTATTGATGGTGGACTATTACTAGTCGGTTTCCATTTTAGTTACCTTTCTTTGGGACTGTTTTTTGATTGATGTCTTGATACCTTTATTGAGTTTTGCGCAGCTCCGTCATTTGCCAGAGCGCCGCATGCGGTCTTTCTAGCTCCCGCAAGTAGAAGAGTCCCGGATGTGATGTAATCCTTTTCTTTTACTCAAGCTCAGTTGACCGAGTGTGAATACGCGGGGGTACACAAGGCGAGAATTTAGTTCAATTGCTGTCATGCTTCAGCGTGGGGCGTATATATCCGTGCGATAGTGCTTGCCAAGCAGCTAATGACTGTTTATTGCTTAATTTACCCCAATATTTTCGAACGCAGACCTTCAAACGCAGTCAGGTATTGCATTCCCTGTTTTAAGGCCGCAGTCATGGGTGCCGAACTCTACTCCGTCACTCGTGGAGAGGTAGGTTCCTTTTTTTGTACCCAACTGTGTTGAAGAATCATTTATTGTCGGAAATTCTTCTTATGGCACATTGTTTTATGCTAAGTTAATCTACTATAGTGATTTTAAGTTTTGAGACCTGTTGCATTCGTTTATCTTCAGTGGGACTTCATTCCGAGTGTACCATTTGTCCAATCAGTGTGATAGATTAGAATGTAGAGTGTACTTTATTTACAAAGTATCTGATTTAATGAGCACTTCTTTGAAACCGGTTAACGGGAGGAGTGGTTTTTTAACGCCTGTCTGATATTTATGACAAGATCTTGATTATTGTATAATACCATCACCTGGTACCATCAGTTAGTACCCATTCAAATAAACAGATGACCGAGTGTATGCTCACAGTTAAAACTTGGCAAGATTCTCCCCCTTCCCCACTCTCTCTCCAAGGTCCCAAATTTTGCTTTTCCTTCAAGGTAGTCAGCATCAAGGCGTTTGGTGCATTCGTCCGCCTTGAAGGCACCGACAGACAGGGTCTACTTCACCGCTCTGCCATTTCCAACCATCCAATCGACAACGTGTCCGACGTTCTGGAGATCGGCGAAAAGATCTTCGTTAAGATAATCAGCGACAGGGTAATTTCTAGGCTCTAGTCTCCTTAACGTAAATTGCAGGATGGCAAACTGGGTCTTAGCATGAAAGTGGTCAACCAAACAACGGGGGAGGATAGGGACCCCAATAACCTTATCATAGCGTACGTCTTTTGCTTATCTTACTAACGTTGACTTGTAATAATTACTTATGTATTCTTTATCCCAATGTGAAGTCCACTTTGCGCATGATGTCACAGCAAATCTTAAGGGTCTTGTTTGTTGATATGACACGTCAAGAACTCGTTGCTTAAAGTATTTTGCTCTTGGCCTACCCTGGGGTTGTTAGTTTCTGAAAAGCACTTGTTCAAAACTGAAGATCTTAAAAGTTTATGGCTAATAGTGCCACCTTCAGTAATTATCTAAATGCATTCGACAACCAAATGAGTACTACCCATGTTGTTACTCTTCCATGGGATGACGCAAACTTTTAGTACATCCAACTTATAAACCACGTCTTTGGTAGGTAGATATGGAAGCCTAAATTTACTTGATAGATTTAAATCCAATGGATATCATCTCTATTAGTAAAAGTAGTATTTCGATTTCGATAAAGGGTACTTAATGTTCCCCTCAAACAGTCACTGGAACTTGGGCCCGAACCATGTATCGGATTTTCATATTTTTTTAGGGAAATTAAAAAACGGAAACAAAGCACGTTTCGTGCCCAAAGCCCTATTCGGCTAGGGGCTGAGTTGAACACGGTATGCAAGCGATGTGGTGTTAAAGGTATATCAGCAGCTGTTTTTTATTCCCTGCTTCATCCCTTACCATTGCTTGTGTTCTTACTTAAAGCCGAAATGTATCTCCGTTCCATATCAATGTTTGACGTAGAGTGCATCTGAAATTCGTGTGGATTTCATGCTCCTGAACTCCCTAATCCCGCGAATTTCAGACTATTTTCTCAGTGTATTGCTGAAATTCAATATCCATTTCCCTGTCGAGGCTCTTTTATTAACTTACGTTCCGTTTTCGCTGTTACAGGACACTTGGCAAGTTCATGTTTTGCCCAAACTGAGGGTGAGTTCCTCGGATTAGTGACGTCAGGTTCGGAAGAAGACGCTGAAAAGTTGTCCACTTCTGCATCTCGTAAGAATAAGGAGAAGGGGAAGCATTCAAGGCACCATCATTCATCTGCGAACAGGGTATCTGCTTTTATTGTCATATGAATTGGTGAGACGAGTGTTTTTACCCTACTAGCTTTTGCTATTTTCAGAAGCGAAAGGAACGTGAAAGGAGTAGAAGTCTATTTGGTGATGCCATCACGAAGGTAGTATATTCTTTAGGAATTTTTCCTTTCTTCATTCCACTCCTAAAACGCCCATGCATTTCTTTTGCTTAGCTGTAATAAGTCAATAACATATTTTAGACTTGTTAGACATATTTTAGCACAAAAAATCCGGTCACCATGGTCGCCGGCACAGAAAGTACCACGATTAGCCCCTAGAAGTCTCAAAATGTATGGTTGTATATATGATTCGAAAATAAATCGTTCTCTATTACACCTGTGACTTTTGGAAAGTGAACAGCATGCTTTACAATGTGGTTAAATCCCATAACTAATTGTATTCCTGTGAATCTCCTTGAGCTATGGTGGTCTTGAGGCATTCACAACAGAACTCCAGGCAGGTTAGTTTGCTTCATGCGGAGCGACGTGACGTTTGTAGATGAGCTAGTATTGCAATAAATTAGAGTGCGCCCAAAATCACCAAAATTTTTGGAGTGTCGTGGGATTTTCAGATAAGCCATTGAATACCAATAACTTCGAGAATCAGATAGTCATTTTAGTGGTTCAGATTGTGGATAGCAAGGCAAATATGGTAGCTTCCGGTGATCGGTTTGCACCTACTGCAGTTGGTGGATCGGGTATGGGGTATGGGAAACGATAAGAAGCAAGCAGTTGTGACATCATGTCGTTTTAGTTTAAGTTCGTCCCAGAAATTTAGCCGTGAGGTATGGTCAGTTTGGGTAGGTATTGCTGTACGATTCCGTCCGAAGATACCTCCTAGGTAGTGAGTGCCTAAAAGACATAGAACTAATAATAGTGGAAGTCAATGTCTCTTAAGAACATCGGTCCTCAACAAACGTATAATTTGTAGAATCGCCATACTACACAACATAGTACGTCTTCCTCTAGCCAGTCTTCTCAATTTTAAGGGTAGTGAGAAATAGCTTCCTGGTGTATCACTGATCAAGTGAGATGCCTATCAAATTCAAGCCTTCCTTGAATTCGCGTAGGGAATCATCACCACTACTAAAATAAACACCTTTCAGTCCACCAATATGTCACTGACCACTTTTGCAGTATAGTCAACGGCTATTAAACAGAAATAACTTGTATTTGAAAACCTTCCTATTAGCGACATTTCAAAAGATGTCACTTCTAAAATTTCTGCAAAGTCTTCATTAAATTAGCACAAGTATTCGTAAAGGTGATCATGTATGCGTTTATGCATCTTCAACTCTTAGTTTTTGATTCCTAGATAAAAAGCATTCTTCCGTTTAATTAAATAACTGCCTGTTATGATCCGTCGCCATAATTTCTTAAAGAATTTTCATTGGAAATGTTGCAAAATTCCAAGAATTCTACAGACCGAATTCTAAGTTATAAGATGCAAATGTAAGCGAATCTGACGTCTTTTCAAAAGTCGAAATCGGTCACGAACGCAGGAAAAATACAGAGTTTGATTCCAATTGGCAAGTTGCTGCATGCACCAACTTGTGTGTGCATTAACACGATGGCTCTTCTTCCGGCAGAAATTATTGAGTCCAAAACGAAGCAGACTGCCACTGTAATTTCATTATTTGATGGCCTATATTTGCCTCATCAAACACTCTAGAGATTATTTGTTAAATATAGTGCAATCACTGACAGTTTGTTTAGGTTTTTATACCCATAAGACATCACTCAAAGTACCATTATAATAGTTTAAAGTGTCTTACCAATTTCTGGCGATTCCTGGTTTTGGGTTGTATGCTCATTTCGAGGATTATGTGCTTATAAATTTTCAGTTCATTTTCCTTCATGGATTGGGAGACAGTGGGTATGTTTAGTGGCTTAACTGTTTCGGTAATCTTCCGTTTAGTTCTGGTTGGGCCGATACTCTTCGCAATGTCGTTCCCCCCTACTGCAAGATTGTCTGTCCTAATGCGTAATTCTACTCCGATCTTATTCTAAAATTGCCTTATAGAAGGGATATCCCTGTGACACTAAACATGGGGATGGTGATGCCTGCATGGTAAGCTACTTCGTGTTTATCACTTTGAGCTCAAAGTTATTTTCGCATACTTAACATTTTTGTTTCTAAACAACTTTTGCCTGTAGGTATGATCTTTACAGCCTTGGTATCGGTGCTAAGCAGGATGAACCCGGTATCCTCGCTGCCACAAAAGAGGGTGAGTCGATTCATTTTGACGTTTTAATCCTGTGATAAGGCATACTCTTCTGTTTTATCCAATCGGCACTAGAGTTTTTACGACTTTATATGCGTGTCTACAGTTTTGACTCTTCTTCAGTTCGCTGTGCTCTTTACTGCCGTTTTTTATCGTATTATATACGATACCAATTTTGCTTCTGTTGCTTTGTCTTTCCGACATCCAACACCTTAATTCGCAAATTCTTGCGATCTTAAGACGATGCGCTGCTAATTGTGTGCTGGTTTGCAAGAGAAATGCGGGTGTAATTTCGAATGGTGTCCTAATACCGCTAGTGATCTTTTCTCCCAATTTGTGCTGGTGTAATTGTTTGGTCGTATTTGAACGCTGCAACTTTTGCAGAGCTCATTTTTACTCAGGACTAAATTGACGCCTTGATAGCTTTGATAATGTTCTCATTAAGTTTATCTGCTTTGCGTCTTCGCAGTGGCGAAATGGGTGGCTGCCGAGAAGGCTGCCGGAATTTCCACGGATCGAATCGTAATTGGTGGATTTTCCCAGGGTGGCAGCATCGCCCTTTACTACGGAGTGACCAATGTAGAGCAGAAACTCGCCGGTCTCGTTGCTCTCAGTTGCTGGCTTCCTCTTCACGAAAAATTTGTCTCTGACAGCGGCGTAAGCCCTCCTACATAACGTAGCTTACTTCTCTTGCCAACTTATTTGTCTCACTACAGAATGTGTGAATTCGTTTACGTGCTACTGTTTCTGATGGAGATGCAACCATACTTTTTAGTTTTCCATCATTCATATTCACGGTTCTTATTGTTAGGCTTCATTTCGGCCGCACGTATTTGCCGAGGGCTCTTATTACTGGATTGCAAAAGAATGTCATTAAAGGAATTGATGCATTTATTTTTCCTAAGGTTGCTATTTATTTTATACTCGTTCATAATCTGGCAACGCAAACTTCATTGTTCGCCAAAAGTAAAGCTAATTCGTTGGTGTTCCATTTAAAATTTGCATAAGCGATTGTCATTCAGGCCCGTACTTACATCACCTTGCCCCCTTCAACATCATCCTGTTTTCATGTACGTTTTTGTCGGTAATTTACTAACGCGAATTCTTTCATTACTTTCTTCTGCTCGTACTTGTTCACTTTTGTCGCTGAGCCTTTGCATTTTTTATCTGAAGGATATCTCTCGTCGTATTCCGAGCCATTTTTAGATTGTCTGCACTTCTTATTTATGTGATGCGAAGATCCGGGTGCAGCTAGTCACGTGTGAACTATTCTAGCATAACGCCGTTTTCTTTCGCATCGTAAACTTCCTACTCCTAAATTACTCTCCGAACAGGCCTCAGTACATGAGGTAGTCAACCTGCGCTGGTATTCGTGATGCTCTTAAAGCGACCAAACGCGTATGGTGGGTGGGGTCGTCTTCGTGGAATCCGAGATCTAGCCTGTAAATGCCTTCATTTCCTTTCTCTTATAGGTTGCGACCGCAAACCGATCCATACCCATTCTTCAGTGCCATGGTAAAATGGACCCTATTGTTCCTTACGAACTGGGCTCACTCACCAACTCCATACTACACAAGCTCGGATTTACAAACTGCTCATTCTCGTCGTACCAAGGCATGGGTCACTGTTTCTGTAACAGTGTAGGTCAAAACTTTAATGGTTTTGTGCCTTTGTGCAAGTGACTTTGGATATCAATTGCCACTCAAATGCACTGTTAGTGTTGATTGAGAACTGTTTGCTTTTAGCAAAATAAGTAGTTCTGTAGATGTGTCAACGCCATTGTGCCGATAGCCAGCCTGCAGATGACTAAAGCATTTTGTTGCTTTCTATAAAAGAGCCCCACTCCATATATTTTTACCATTTTTCTTGCGCAGGAGATGGCTGACGTGAAGGCATTTTTGAGCACATGCCTCCCGCCAATGGATAAGTAGACCTCCCGCTTAACTTTCAGCCTCGAAAACTTCACGCAAGTACGCCACCCCTCGTCTTCCTACTCGTCTCGTCTCCGGGACCCTTTCCGCACTAACTTAATGCTTTTTGGCTTGAAATGGCATTTAAATGTTATTTGCGCGGTAAAATCATGCTCATTTTAAGTTTTACGGTTACCTGGAGTAAAGCGGTGAGACGTAGCTACTCTGTTGGGTTAGTAATAGTATTGCACAACGCGGTGTTTGTAAAAGGTATGGGGGTTTCCAGCTTCGAGCGATGTGGATCTTTCGTGGCGTTGTACTGCTGGTTATTGCTCTAAGTAAGCGTCATGCATTAATTTGAACAATTGGGGTAAGCCATCTGGGAGGCACCTGCAAGTGGTGACCGAGTTACGCAGATGGGAGGGGTATGGCCCAAAATGACTTCCTAGTTTTGCGGCATTACCTAGCCCTTGCCGCAAAATAAACGTAGCGGTCCGTAAGATGGCATCATGTGGTCCAGTAGATGTAGGCTTTCGTAACAACGCCAACGCTTCTAAGGTAAGCACCGCGTTTTTTCACCTGCCGACTCGTTTGGCGGTATTTTTGAGTCTATGCGCACAAGACTACCGTCGCGTCCCCATCTGCTTCATCTTCCAATGGTCTATGACCCAAAAATAGCTGAAGGACCTGTATTCTGGATGTCTGGCCAAGAAGAAAGTGTCGTACTGTGGAGCGAGACTCCTCGGTCTCCGCTTCCCGATTCCTAGCGTTCCTAGACAAGCCCGGTTGGTTTACTTTGGACATCTTTATTGAAGACGACAAGATGTATAGGGAAAATACAATATTCAAGAAGGAGGGGAGCCACAGTCACTAGGCAAGGGAGAGGGCGATCCAGTTACCAGGTTCGAATTTCCTGCTTGCCTCCTCCCTGAAAGGCACATTAAAACAACATAAGTATTACACGTACTATTTGCGCCTTCGTTTCGGCGACAAGCCAGAGGGGTGTGGCTGTGGTCTTTCAGTACTTCTGTAGGTTAATGGCATATCTCGTACAGATATGGTTTATTACGTCTTCAGGGAAAAGGCACTGTGACAAAAGGCATCATTTCTTCAAAGAGAACGAAAGTATGGACAGCCACAGGAAAGATTCAAATCTCATAGGAAAAATTGTCTCATTAAAGAATATGAACGTAAGTGGTGAAAGCAGAAAACCATTGCAAATATTGACGTCGGTGGGAAATCTCAAGCAAGGCTCATGAAACAATCAGGGCCTCATTAAAGTAAAAACAAAAATATGGAATACTCTCTCAAAAGCTGCCCCTTAATGGTTATTCTATATCTTTGACACAAAATGGCTTAATGTAGTACTTTTAAGTCATTTTGTTAAAGTAGATTGCAAATTACTAAAAACGGACTAAATTAGCATCTCTTAAAATTTGTCAACAAGTGCCAGTTGCTCAAAAGTATGCAATGCTAGGTTTCTCTTTAAAAGCCAGCTTGATGTTGCAATATAATTATACATAACCACGAGACAATTATGAAGCACGTCAAACACTTTGTTAACAAATAATCTAATTGGCTTTACTTGCTCCTAAAACCTAAGAGCAGCCGAGACTAAAATTGTTTTAACCTTAACGTAATTAGTTTGTTTTACTTGTCGGGGGGATTACACAGCTTGCGGTTCCGGGTTCAGTTGTGGCGCTAATGGCTTCTCAACCTAAGAATCCTCGTCCTGACAACGAGGCCGCTGATGTTCCTCCAGGTTGTATATTTTGCATTTCCCTTAGTTTATTCTGGCTTGGTGGGTTATTCATTTTTTTCTGCTTGCAGAGGTCGATCATGACATTTTGGAGAGTGTTGATTCTGTTCAAGAAGCTATCGACAGCCTCAACAAGAAGGCCAGTGTCGAAATTCTTAAAGTAGAGCAGAAGTTCAACAAATTGCGCAAGCCTCACTATGAGCACCGCGCGGAACTCCTCGCGAAAATCCCAAATTTCTGGCACACCGTCTTTATGAACCATTCGCACTTGCGCAAAGTGATTACGGAGGAGGACCAGAAGGTTTTGGCTTACTTGAGAGCTGTTGAGGTTCAGGAATTTGATGATATCACGTCTGGATACAAGATTAACTTTGTACAGTTGCCATTTCCTTACTAACAGTTTTAGTACTTTGATGAGAATGACTGGTTTAAGAATGATTGCATTACTAAGGAGTATCATGTTAGTGAGAAGGGTGAGCCGACCGCCACGTCTACTAAGATTGAGTGGAAGCCGGGTATGGACCTCACTGAGATGACCGACAATGGGAGGGAAGGGCAAAAGAGGGATTACCCACATCAGTCCAGCTTTTTCTGTTGGTTTGCGTTCGACCGCAATGCCGTGGGCGACGTTATCGGGGACTACATCAAGGATGAGCTTTGGCCCAACCCTCTTCAATATTATCTTAATCCCGAGATTGACTCTGATGAGGAGGTTGAAGGTATGGATTCCTTCCCATTGTTACCTTTGTAGAGGATCTTTTGGACGAGGAAGACGATGAGGAGGAGGAAGAGGAGGATGATGAAGATGGTCAAGAACTTGCTTACGACGAGGCTGGTGGGGAGGATGCTGCAAAGTCATCGTAAATCGGAACGAAGTATACCCTGTGCGACGTGGCAAATCAGTCGTGCATTTTCATTATACTGATGCACGGGTGATTTGTGTTCTGGTATCTTTTACTCCCCATCTCATAAACTGCGTGTATCGTGCTTTTTTGTACAGATCCTCGTTTTTATGAGTGTATAAGCACATTTTGGGTCCGCTCCCGAGGTTAACGTTTGCTGTTCTTGCGTCTTCAAAGTTAATCTCGTGACCTGCATTTATGTTTTTTGCCTATGGTCAAAGATTTTGACATATATCGTGCTACGTGGGTGGCTGCGTTGTAATGCTTTTGTTGGTTTGTCAGATTGGCAAGGTGGTAGTGGTTCTACTCCGTATTCCCATACATTCCTAGCGGAGTGTGGCTGGGTGTCTTCACGCCGGCCTGGGTGTGCTTGCTCGCCGTGATCGTTGTCTTTGGAGCAACCAGTTTTCTTGGGGGGTGGTGGCCTTAGGCGCGCTTGGAGCTTTCGTCCTGCAGTGGCTGTTGGGTCGCGCTTTCCGTTGCGGAAGGTGGGGTTGGGTTGCTCGGCGCGTGGTTCCTGTGGCCAGGTGTTGGTCTGAGTCGCGGGTTTCTGTGTGCTGCCCTGTTGATTTGCATCGGGAGTTCCCTTGGTGGTGGTACGGTGTCCGGGCCCCCTAATGAGGTCTCCCGGGGGATCGTACCGTTGGCTCATTTCTCCTCCCCTCCCCCTTAGAGCCTAGTGACCGAGATGTCTCTACAGCCGTCCAGTTCCAGAGCGCCCCGTCTGGCGCCGGCTTGGGGGTATTAAGTGGTGGTGCTTCCTTTCGCGGTTCGGCCTTGACCTCCTACAGTCCGCCCCGGTGAAAGCGGGCGGATTGTGGTCAGGATTGCATGAGTGCCGCGGTTGGTGGGGCGGGCGCCTCCACTCCACGCTAGCGTTTAACCCTGCGGAGCTCACCTCCCTTGGCCCACCTCGTAGTACTCGCCTGGGTGGTCATACATTTAGCGGGTTTGTAACCGGTTCAGAAGCTATGCGCTATGGCAATTTCTATCCCGGTTATCGGTGGGGGCTTTTCTCGCCGTTTAGGTGTGTAGGACCTATCTGTTGAACCGAAATTAGTGATTAGGTGAGGTTCGTTATCTTAGTGCATTATCGACATGATATACGGGGAGGAGATTATTTCTGATGAAGCCACTACGGGTATCCCGAGTGTCATGTGTGCCAGTGTAGGGGCTAAAGGTGGCGAGCGAGGGTCGGTTTTGTGTGCATCGACTCCTGCACTGAATACGGCTGCAGCGCGTAGGCGCCATGACATTTGTTTAGCTGATTGGTGAGCACCGGGAATGCGCGCGCGCCTTACGACTTGAAGTGGTGGGCTCGGTGCGCCGTGTGTGCACCATGCCGACGCACTGATGTGTCAACTTGCGGACAGTTAGGTCCGCGAATGTAAAGAACTAAGCTGAAGTTTCGATAGCGTAGACCTGTAGGCAAGGCAACAAGAAATGGCCACGTATGAAGCATAAATTACTTTCTACACTTAATGCATACAAATAAACAGAAATTTCGTGAGAATTTAACTCCATAGAAGTTAAAAGTTGAGGTCATTAACTTAACCTTGTATTTCAAAAGCTGATTTTCACACCTGAGGAATCGTTTTAAGGTAGGTTGTGTGACAAAATCGAATTGTGTTTTCATCATCTAGGTCTAGTTAGAACCACACTGAGAAACAAGCGCTTGCGTCATGTGTACAAAAGGCTCATGAACCTACACCACTTCCATCAACAAGTAATTGTATAACCGGAGCACAAGAAGCAAGAAAACCGACATCTCTTCCATGAGCAGCAGAAAACACGAGAATATCTATGCAGTGGCAAATTTTACTCCTCTACTTCCGAAAACAAACGGATTTGGCGCTGCAGAACTGAGTTGATGCAAGAGAAAACTACTATCTAGAGCGACGAAGACATCTGTGTCAGCGAGGATATCTCATTCAGCTTGAATCAATGGCACGAGGGCCAAATGTTTACTGAAGTCATTTCAAACAGCCCCTGCATGTGTGTATCATGCATATCAATGAATACTTTAGTATTTGATCCACACCGAGAACTAACACACCCTTACCATTGATATCAATAGGGTGCCAATCTTGATTAAGGCGTACATTTCAAATGCACTCTACTCCTGTATATACCATAAAACCACACATAGGCGGATCAGCACATAAGAATAGGCATACGACACCGAAATCGACCAACGCTCAATGATATGAGTACGGTGCGTGAGGAGCGTAAATGCATGGCGAATGGGAAGAAATTATATACTCATGTAGTGCCACTGGACAATTCGGTCACGCATAGGTTCAAGGCTTGCGCATTTAAGTTATAAACCGCGTGGAACTCACGCAAAATCACTAGGAGGTCGTTGCATGCTTGTGTGTCTGTCTCACAGACAAGGTGGTACTCGTACACACACGCACGCACAAACACACAAATCCACACACACACGAACCGCGTGTGTCTGCGCAGCCAAGTGACGCTAGATGGAGTGGAGCTAGAGAAAAAAGGCCAGACTGTGCTCCGATTGGCTCGCAAGGTCGTCGAGTCGGCTGTTTATGCACCGGTTTGATTGGTGGACAGGTGTGCAGTTGCTACAATCTCGAGTGCGTGTGCATTCGTTAGGCTTCTATGGATCGAAGGACAGGTGACGCCTGCTAGACGCAAGCTAAACCAATGGTGTCGGCTTGACAATGTAAAAAATTTGATCCTTTTGTAGCACCACGGTTTCCTCATATCATACCTTTGTGTAGCGTGACATCCTATGGAGCTGGCGGTGAATTGGTCACTTCGTGAGACCTCGCTGCATTTAAAATATTCGGAATAAGTTACCACTCAAACTGTTGTAATATGATAGGTTAGAATATCTAATAAGCGCATGAATAAACAAGCTTTGGAAGTTAATTGGAACCAATGCGACTTATGGGAAGAATGGCCGTGGAGAGATGCTTTATTTGTGCCGAAATCCACCCTCGAGTCAACTGCAGCAGATCGAAGTTGTGTGCATTCGATAAAGGCAATGGTGGCACCTCAAGCAGGATGGCTAGAGCTCAGTTGCTGAAGGTACGAGGCACACAACCCTGAACTTAAATAACTAGATCAGTTTTTAGACCATCATAACCCATGAATGGCAAACCTGGTTCCTAATGCATTTAAATAGGTAATAACAGTATATTGTAGCATCTTCGACTGCTGCACATCGCTTAGAGCAAGAAGTCTGCCTTCCCCACTTAACGGAAGTATTTGTTTTAGCTAGTGACGTTGTTCAAACAAACTCTACCAAATTGGCTAGACCATCTTCTTCTTCACTACTTTTTAGAAGCATGAAATGTATGTGACACCTAGCGGCGTGTATACAACGACGAATGGTCACATCTCTCCAGCTAATGGTTGGAACTTTTAAAGGGCACTGATTCAAGAGTCAACTTGGTAGGCTTCCATGAGCCCTGATGAATCGACTTTGCAATAACAAATATCTCATATCAGGAGTTTTTGTTGTGGATGCACACATCTACGAAATCTTCGTATTATAACATAACCAACCAAATAAGACCCACTTTTTCGTAACAATTCGTAACCTCAATTCGACCTCCTTCGAGTGGTGGGCCTTTACACGCACGGAGATTGGATGGTAATATTTCTCCCAAAGGATTTCAAGCATAAACTCGGCAATTCAACAGGGAATCTAAAATTACTCCTCCAACTCACTCTCTGTGTCCAGAATTCGAGATCATCCTGGGAGAGATTGCAGTACTGTTTTCTATGGTGACAGAACAGCCACACTAAGCACCAGGACAGCTGAAAGTACCCCCTGAGGTCTCCAATGCCAAGTTTGAACAGGACGATCTAGCAACAACCGGAACTATGTTCGCCTTGAGAGCGACAAATGGGGTAACGCAAGATGCAAAGTGAAGATAATGCACATTGATCGGAAGGGCGGAATAATCATGGCTGCCATGCCATGTAAGTAGACGGATGAGGTCACGAACCATAGACGAACCCTACTGGTAATCGACTTCTACGTTCGTTAATGCAACGGTACACCCACGCCACTAACTGATTTCAGTAGAAATTATTTACCCATTGGAGACCCATAGGGTGAAGAAAGCTAACCCCGAAGAACGCGTGTGGGATCCATAATTGTGGGGAAATAAGGAAGAATGGGAATATTCCCACTTTCGATTTAAATAAAGAAGGGTTCAAGTAGCAAAGAACAGTAAGACAGTCAAGTTTGCAGCCCATTGTCAACTTGTTCAGCGTCTACGAATTTGGCCAGCTCTTCACGTGTTCGCAAATCAGCCTAAGAAATTTGAAAAGAAGGCTAGAAATTGCTAAGAATAAGGCAGCATGAAAAGATGCAGAACAATTCAATAAAAGTACTGATTGACAATAAAGTATTACACAGGAGTGCTCATAAGAAATAACTGAAGCAAAATGTGGCGTATTCGGGTAACCATCAAATCACTGCAAAAAAAAAAAAAAAAAAAAAAGAAAGAAAGGATGGGCGCTGAATTACCTTTCGTGTTGGCTCCGGAATCCGATGGATGGAGCATCGCAGGGCTATTTCCACGGCGGTTTGAAGGGTGATCAGATGCCCAGGTGAGACGAAAACGGGATTCGATGACGCACTGGTGAGAAGAGCCTAGAACAACAGACACGACTTCGGCAAATACGTTTTTACAAAAAAGAGACAACACAATTCCCAGATCAAATACTTATTTAAGTTGAATTGATGCACTGGTTGACGTATTGCAACTACAAAGCAATTATTTCTAACCTTTACAACTTACTACTGTTTTGGATACTTCAACTGAGAATTCTAATAAGTTCACAGTCATTATGTAGAAAAGCACCCAATTCTTTAAGGGGCTATGATCAATAAATAGACGAAAAGTACAAACTAACTAACAATGACAGTAATTAGCCTTACAACACCATCTATCCTACCGTCTTGGCCAAGAAGATCAAGTTTTTCGCCTTGTTTCATTTGTTTCAGCCGCTGAAACAATGTAAAAAACGGAAAAAATATAAATAACACAAAGAAGTCATAAATAAAAAAGCACCGTCTTTTTGTAGTTGAATGAACCAGGTAATAAATGAGAATGTTATAACCTGCATTTAGTCGCAGTGTTGGTGAAACATGGTAGAAAAATTTGCAACAAAAAGATCGGTAACATCCTCTCTTGGAAGTTGTTGAAAATACAACAAATTTGAAGTACATCTCATTCCCACTATTAAAATTTTATTGGGTTTCTTCAAAATCATTAACAAGGAATATCTGCAGGAAAAGAACCACGCCAAATGAAATGTTAGATTTCAAGTGAAGGAAAAGGAGAAAAATCAAACGTAACCAATACAGGCAAACAATGAAAACTTTGAGCACTACTATGTCTAATTATAAGTTGATGGACCACAATAGCGCCTAACTGGAGAAAACAGTTTACGACTCGAATTCTAAAATGCGCAAACTGATAGTTTCGATATCAAAGAAAGTCTGTGAAGGGAGACAACACCACTTCATCAACTAACGCATAAGTGCGGTCCGAATCTACCAAAAAAGGGTCAGCGAACACACCTGCAGAAGAAGGCGCTTCTGCGTGGGTCCGTCGGCATCCGGAGGGAAATGATTGGGCAGGGGTTGGAGAAGAGGCAGATTTTTGGCTACTCCGAAGGTGGGTCGCTCCAGCAACACGCCAAGGTGGCAAGCGGCACCGAAGCGAAGAGGGTGTAGCGTTCCATTGCTGTCTACCATGAAAACGTCAGGAGCGAGGGCTGCATGGTGCGTCTCGAACGCGCGAACCGCGGCCACGTAGGCGGGTACCTCGCGGAAGGCGAGAAAATTGGGTACATAGGGAACTTCTACTGTTATACGATTGCAGTCCACTGCCAGCGTTTCACACTATAGAAGGTGAAAAATTAAATCCAATGTAATCACGTGATTTAAACGATCTCAACACAACAGGGAAAACTCAGGTTTATGGACATAACCTACTGCATTTTATCAACTGATACAAAATATCCACTTCACACGAATCATGTCTTGTGAACTGATGAAGAATGCTAGCATGAAATATCCATCATACACCTTGTGCCAAAAAGTGGTGGATTACCAAACATAAAAAACACTTATTGGCACATAAGTTGACCCAAGTTTAAAGAACTGGCAGAAGAAAACCGCCCATTTCCCACAATATTCGAAAAAAGCATTGCTTTATTAAAACTTCTGTAAAATTCAACATCGGAACCGAATGCAAATTTTCCATTTTCAATGGCACAATTGATTATTTTATAGTCGAATATCATATCTGGACAGGCAATAGAACAAGTTAGCAATAAAATGATCTACCTGCGTTTCTGAAACAGGATCACTGATCCGCACCACAGAAACGCCAACGAAGGCTAGGGACGGAACATTTTTGGAGTAGGAAATGTCAAGACCTCCCACAAGCAGTGTACCGCTATTGAGTTTTTCCAAGATTTCATGACTATCCTCTAGCACACATTGCTGTTTCAGTCTCAGCTGTTCTCTGAAATCGCAAAAAACGGCATGGGAGATTATTTTGGGCATAAATTTCAGCAAAATGTTCAGTTTGCTGTAGTTTCAGACTTTTTTAAAGAATTTCCACGGGAGTAACACTTTTATCAGTAATTATACCGGCAAAAATACTGTTCTCAGCAGTTAATGTGGTTTAAACAAAAATTTTTGGCTTAAATGCTATCAGTAATTACACTTCATGAACAATACGATTTTCAGAAACAAATAAGATAATGAAAGTACAAAACCACATCTACAAATCCATTATTCTAACGAATTCGAAATGATCTATGAGGCAAACTCCTTATCGTCAGAGAAATCAACATTGGCATTAAACTCACTCGATCCAATTTTTTTTAAGTTCTTCCATGAACAAACTAGGAGCCAATCTTGGAATTACTTGTGGGGCATCCGTGGAGCTTGTAAAAGAGGAATGACAATCGAAGAGACTCCAGTTTATTCAAACACAAGTCAAATTCATCTTAACATTTGAAATGCCAGATGACGATCCAGGATAAACAAATAATTTGGGACCAACTCGACCAAACTAACATGAGCAACCTACCCAGCCAAAAATTACGAAAATGGGGCAGATTCATTTCGAAAACAAGACTATATCAGTTCAAATTATGTATTATAGGCGAAAACATTTCATAACTGAGGAGAAAAATCGGGAAAAGAAACTCAAGAAGCCCACACTATTTACAAGCGAGCAGCACAATAAGAACAAGGACGACTCACGCTAAGAGAGACCAATGAGAGCACCTTACCGCGTTGCGCACACACCACGCCCATTCCTCCCAGTGCATTAAATTCAGCTGCAAGGTCAAAATGTAACTCGTTAATAAGTTTCACTAAACTGTTTACTGTAAGGACAGTAATATTTATAGCCTCCTAATCGTCAGTATTTTGTAAACTTATTAGGGGGCTTACCACCCATTTATGCCTACTTTTCCCCTTAAATTAACTTAACTATCATACATATATTCCACTGTTATAAGATCCGTGCATATTTATGCATTTTTTGAACTATGTCCTGATCCTTTAATCATTTTCTGATGAGTTCAATGTGATGCTAGACAAACGGGTTCAGTATATGTTTAATGGTCGCTATTGATAATTTTACTACTCACACTTTATTTATGCTGCAGACTTAGGTAATTTCCAAATTTAAACTGCTAAATATATCAGTTACGCTCGTTTGTATTTGTTGTGTTGGAACAAAATGGCTTGCGATAACTGCAAGATTTTCTGTATCATTTCCATAGGCTTCAGATCTTGCACTTCCGGTTAACTACATGACCCTCCAGTCACTTCTATTGTAGCGCCCCGAAACTTTCCTGAAGATTGAAGAAGATATAATACTCCGGCAAGATACATATTTTCCACATACAGAGGGTATTAAGGCTACTGGCGTGGTCTGACGGCCAGCCCACCTGGCGTGGTACAATGGTCAAGTCAAAGGTGGCTTTTCACCGAAACCGGGAGTTAAACAACCGTTGTATTACATCTATGGCTTCCAAGTCCTTCTGCATGTTAGTTATCAAATGGACGTTTGTTTTAATAAGCATTTTGGGTGGCGCAGGGCATGTTGGACAAATCATGTGACTGTATAGACGTCATCAATTTCCGAAGTGGGGTCAAAATCAGATTCACTATAATACTCTGAGTATTTGCGGAATATTCACATTATACGCTACGAAATATCACTAAGAATACGAAAGTACCCCTGCAGAGCTCATGATGGCTCTAGGGCAGCCTTGAATGCTCTAGCATGATCTTTTAGGCCATAAAAGTCCAAAGAGGCCCTCACTGTAACGGTGCTGGACATTTGAAAGGCTGCATTAGGAGGAAAAACTTATGCGTTGCATTATTTTCCAAGGCACAAAACCATCATGATTCATCTTCACTCAGCCTATTTCAGTTAAGCTTAAAATCAGGTTTTTATCATAATTTATATTATGTGATCAGGCTATGCTGGCTTATCACAATCAATGACAGATTCCTCCTCATCGCCATTGAGAATCTCACTTTATGGGCTTCATTTACCACTTGATTAAGCACAGTGAAAGCTTCTCATGCATAATAAATTATGTTAGTGGCAAATAAATGCCAATACCTGGCTTAAGTTCAGCCACCATGATACTTGCCGATCAGTACTAAATTCCTTATTATAGACATGAAGTTAGTTACTTATTTTTTGCAGCTGAGTTGCTTTGATGTTCGATAGGTTTTAAAAATCTTTGACAAGAATGAAATAGATGCCAACTGCTACAGAGAGAGGGGTAGGATTGAAGATTTAAAGCAAACCAAAGGTGCATTAGGTAGAATTCATTTAGAAGACGCGAATTTAACATCGCATAGCCAGCCGGATACTAGCCACCGTGTCTCTCTTCCTAAGGTGGCTAAAGACATTAAGGGCAAAGCTGGCAAGATTATAAGGCGCCACTACTTGCATGTTAAGAATCCTAGCAATGCCGGTAACCAACAGCCAAGCAGAGTTAGACGTAACAATTTCTTTAAAGTGGGTTTTCGAGATTGACAGGAGAGTGATTGGTCTATGGTGCTTGGTTCACTTCAGTGAATTTCAGATCCTCCTTTTTTCAGGTAATGCTACTGAAGCAATGGTTTAAGACTCATTTAAGACCGTCGATTGGCCAACCGATTTCTTCATTTTCATCAGCAAAAAAGTGGATTTATTTTGTACCGCGTTCTTTTCTGTCCCATTCGTTTACTTGAAGTGTGACGATCTTGGGATTCCACTAGAGGAGATGCAGGGAATGCATCTTGATTTAAGCCAAATATTTTGGCGAGCACAGTTAAAACTTAAACTTATCCCAACCTACGCTCATAAGCTCTCGCAATGTGTGAAATTGTATTATGTTTATAATTCCTTCATTTCGCGGGATTGGTCGACTTTCAACATTGTTAGTTAGGCATATAATTAAAAGGTTCACAAGAGTCCTCTTGAATCCATGCGGCAGGAAAGGTTGGGGTCACTCAATTAACAGCTTGTGTCCTTGAAATTCTTTTACAAAAAGCGATGGTTAATCTATTGGTGAATGGAAAAGGATATGCTGTACCCAGCGTAACACCCAACATCCCATCCAATGATTCGTATTTACTCAACTTATTTTCTACATTGTAGCGTTGGTAGCACTGCTGCAATTTCTTACCAGCCCTGCCCTGCCTTTTCTGATTGCTTCATTGTGCAGTCACACACTTTGCCATTTTATCACTCCCGAATTGGTCAGTGCTGGAGGATGAGAATTCCTAAAGAGCCCAAGTGACTTTGAGGTGTGTACTGAGGCATTTCCGGTTGCTGTTCAAGTTGTCTTAAACAGTTACTTATTTCACAATGGCCTCTTTTTATGACTACATATGGATACTTTCCCGATTTTAGAGGAATGCAAAGTCCCTTCAGATTCAGAACATTTTGCTCAAACAAGTTTCATTTAGGTATCTCTCTAAACCAACGAATCTTGGGCAAAATTTACTAACTGGATCTAAACACAGCTTCAAAGGAGTTTTATTTTTAAAATTATGTCAAAAAGAAATCTAAACAAGGACTACAATGCCAAAAGAGGAGCAGAGTAGGTGTATGAAATTCTTAGAAGCATTACTTATTAAGAAACCATAAAAGGTTTTTCCGCTTAGGTGGACAAGGTTCTACCATCGTTTATATCGATAGAGCCATTCAAGGGCTCCTCGACACTATTACATCTTTTTAGCACTACTTCCAGTTGCACATCCGATGACCTTCGTGTTGGCCATTCATGGTGTAGATCCTGTCGATAGACCGCCCGTGGGTTGTTCTGTAATACGATGGTGGTTTATCCCTCGGTATTGGTGAGGCGCCACTTTTGTACTTTGAATTAGCCCCCTTGTACCCCGCTGGGTGGGCTGGCCCTTTTGGGCCATGCCAATAGCCTAGACACCTTCTCCGTGCTGAATATACCTATTCTGCCCGAGTATTGTGTCTTCTTTCGTCTTCAGGGAGTCTCTGAACGCTACAGTTCTGCCACCGTGCCCCATCAAACTAGTTAACGGCAGCCCATGGACGAGGCGATGGACGATGGAGGACAATGTGCAAACAATATCGTCGAAGTTTACCAGACTGAAGATATCGTAAGTAATATTTTGTAGACCCGTCATCAGGCTTCTCGTCTAGTAGTTTTTCACACGGTTTTAATTATCAATAAAAGCGCAGGTTGAATAGGGAATTCTAGCCTCCTTGAAGACTTCCGCATCATCAGACGCCAAAATGAAAGTTCTTTGAATCTGACAATCACCAGACAACAGATCCTCTTCAATTTCAAACTACTAATAGACCCATTCGACATTTTCCATATATTGCGACAGTGGAAGATAGTCAGCCTCACTTTGAAGCTTATCAGTTGGACGAACATGGACACAGATGAATAGTTTGGTCTTGGTTTTCATCAAATTGGCGCATGTCTTCCAAAAAGCAGTCGGCTTAAAATAAAGGATTTAGCGAATAAGATGACCTCTAAACCAAGCATAAAGGCATTCACGAATATCACTTAGGGCCTCTGCCAAGGTTTTTCTGAAACCAAGCGGTGTAGAGGCTCCTAAGGAGTTTTCAAAGCCCAAAACCAGCTGAATAGAATGTGTCGAACAAATTATCGCCATTCGCAAAAAGGGTGCCAATTCTAAGTATAAGCTACTTAGGACGCCATAGCAATGTGGTGAACTTGACACACAAAACTACAGTTCCGAAGTTCAGTTACAACAAACTTGGCCCTGTCAGGGTTTGATGGGTTTACTAACCGATTTTGTTGACCTTACAGAAGTTCAGCCAGGTGAATTGGGTGGACACACCTCCGTTCTAATTCGCTAGTGAGCTGGTCCATCACTGTAAACGGGGCCTTGGCTGAATTAACATGTCTTTGATCACGAAAGCGATCGGAACCGTTAGCTGCCCGACCTAAGTGCCAAAGCTCATGCGAAATACAGAGAGCTTGTTGACTGATTTAAAAGTAGCGTTTATCGATGTCATTTCCACCAGACGGTGAGTGCTAAGTAATTACAAACGCTGTTAGAGAGTGACGTAAAATATCTCGCATCTTTTTGCGAGAATAAGCACCTCTCACTGTTAGCACCACATTCGATAGGAAATTGAATGCAGATGCATATCGCGACCTGTGAAATTGAATGATAGTAAGTGAGCCTCTCTTCACCCACCTTTTAGTGTGATTGGCTAAGAATAAACTGATCACGGCCGAGGAACCACTTTCAGTAGTGCAAACAAGTGACCTTAAGTTTTGTCAAAGCAGGAAAACCTTAGGAGAATTGCTTATAAGCTACCTTTTTGGCAAAAGCTGTCTTTTTGCTGTGGTAATAATGCACCCAACGAAAAGTTCATTTAAGGCAAAACACCTAATTATGCTGACATTCGGAGTAAACAATCTTAATGGAATGATCCCTATTATCCGAAAGTTTCGTAAATTTTGTTACCACCTAAAAAACGCTTTACGCTCCACCGTTGCAACGAATTATGTTGATAAAAGTTAACTACAAAGGAAGACATTTGCGCATAAAACACTGCTGGATTTCGTGGCACCAGTTTCCACTAACTCCGCCTACAAAACTAGACAGATATTTTCTCTACAGTCTGCATGTTATGAGCCCTTTAAATGCATCATGGGCATTTGGTAATTGGTATATTGATGGCTGGAGTGGCTGAAAGGAAGCTGGACATCATCAACCTAACTACTTTAGTCATGGTAATCAAGAAAAGACGAATTGGCTTTCATCAGTAATACATAATTTTAGGTGAATTTTTAAATACACAAATCCGGGTGATTCTTCAAATCATACAAGTTAATGGAACAGATGAAGGCACTAGTGTGTTTCTTGGTCTCTTTATCTTTCGGGCTGTGCGTTGATGTGAGGGGTGGGGATGGCGAAGGGGAATAAAACAGGGGCAGGAGCGACTCTAGTAGGAGGCTATCGGTAGTCGCAAAAGGCAAGTCTGGTGAGTGGGCTAGCCTTGACCCAGCAATAGGAGGAGAGGCGAAGCATTCAACGATCGCTTCCTTCGATTGAAATATAAATGCGAGTGACGACGCTGAATCCTCACTCATCCTCTGGTTATGAGTGGGTCATAGGTGCTAATGCGAGGACAGTTAAGCCATAGTGTGTGTACAGAGGGATTAAATTCGGGTGGAGGTCGAAGTGTCTACTTTTTGTTCCCTGCAACTACTACTGCCGCTGCTGCTACTACTCCGGTGACCACTGACAACCTTGGTCTCGATCAGTGCAAGCTGTGAAAGTACCTTGGGTCGACATACCTCGGACTCCCTGTATCCGCCGTCGCCACTACCACTGCTGCTGCGTATGAAAGTTTGCTTCCTTTTTGGAACATTGGGATAGAGACTCTGTACCACATCGGAGGGTCTTATTATTGCGTATACAATTGTGTCTTTGTGTCTGCTTATAAAACAAACATCCTCTTTAATTTTGCAAATAAACTTATTTTCACGGAGTCATTCTACAGTTAACCAAATGATATAAATTTTGCTGCGAAGAACTATCCAGTGGTCTCTATTAGTTGTTTAATTTTTTTTGTCCAAACATGTTTTAGCATCCACATTTTTAGTCGCAGACAAGGGTTCGGCAAAAATCTACTGCTTGAACATTGGGTGGTATACTAAAAGCACAACTGTTTTTCTCATTCAAAAAAAGTTGCTGGCTTACGTTTACCTTTTATTATCTTCAGTGAGCGTGGTATAGGCCAAATCAGTTGGCGATTTGGTGAAACGCTGACCGGGAAATGTTGCCTGCGGAGCAAAGGGGTAGAGGATGGGTCGGAGGAAGGTGGGTGGATAGGCGATGATTGAACCGATCCTCGAGGGCCGTGGAGGTAGTGTGGGTACACTGGTGTCCTCATAGCTGCAGGGTGTTTCATAAGTAGACGTAGAAGAAAGGACAGTTGAGAAGGGACGATTCGACGGCGCTTCACAGTACCGCTGTTGGTGGTACAATGAGGGTTCTAAGTGTTTTATCTTGTCCTCTCCTTTGAGTTTTGGGTAAAGGGAAAGCTTGGGTAATGTGGTCTCATCAGAGCGCAGTGAATTGAGTGGTTCGTAGGCCGACCAAACGGTAGAAGTTTCCGAGGCATAGCCGTTCATGTCTTCTTCTAGTTGAAATTTAGGGGAAAAGTTTTGCGGGGGTGGCTTTCTTTTTGATTGAGTCTTTTCACGTCTCCATAGGCAGGCTGCCATGAAGAGACATACGGCGATGGCTAGGACAAGACCGGAGAGTGCGACAGCAACGGGAATGCCAATTGTAAGACTGAGGAAGGAGGGCTGCAAATGAACCATGACAATACTGCCCTTATCCGAGGTTAAAGGCTCTGCGGAGGTTAACAAGGTAGTGTTGGCAGTCGAATAACTTTGATATTTTTGGAAGTTAGTCTCACTTATGGGAGAACACTTAAAAGTGCCGTCTTTAGTTTTGTAGCATGTAGAGCCCTTCGAGCAAGTGTTTGGAGGACATTCAACTTCACGATTTTCGCACCAAATCCCGGAGAAACCAGACGGGCAGATGCATCGGTAACTGCTGATAAGATCTTCACAAAATGCTCCTATAATAAATCATTCAAAAGATGGCGTTTTGACACTTTGATATGAGTGAAATTAACTCAAACTATACTCAGGAGGTAGCACTTACCATTTCGGCAGGGCTCTGATGCACAGTCATCAACGTTGATTTCGCAATTCTCTCCAGTATAGCCGGGTGGGCACGCACAGTAGAACTGTCGCCCATTTTTCGGTCGGGATAATGGATGGCAAACTGAATTGGCGGCTTGACAGGGATGCTCTGAGCAAACTGTCTGATTGAATTCGCACAAATTGCCATAGTAACCCTTTGGGCAAATGCATCGGGTCTGCAATAATTATGAAGAGATTTAGCCTACTGTTTGCATTTGAGTACAAATATTTTGAATATAAATCGTCCACCTGTCCATCCATGTGCTGGGTACACTGGCCACCGTTGCGGCAGCCATGGCTGAGACAGTCGAGTTGCATCATCTCACAGTGGTCACCTCGGAAACCGGGCAGGCAGATGCAACGGTAGGGCTGACCACTGGGGCTTCTGACATTTTCACATTTCCCATTGTTCTTGCAAACTCCCTTATTATTCTGACAGAATTGAAGATCTGCGAAAGTAAACATGGAATCTAAGTAGTGCACTTTTTATCAACCAATGAAAGGGAGGCATCGAATGTGGCTGATATAGTTGGTTTACCTATATCACAAAGCATTCCACCCCAACCATCCTCGCAGAAGCACGTGAAGGGAAGCTGGCGATTTTTCTTCGGGTCGAAGGAGCATGAACCGTGTTTGCAACCTGGATAGACTTGACAGACGCTACAGTCTTCTCCCGTCCAACCCTGATGGCATCTAAATAAATTGGGAGCAGTATTAGGAATTCATGAAGAGTTGCACCATAACCAAATATGTTTCGATATGAGGATTTATGCCAAATAATAAATCGATGCCTTTTTTCCCATTTTTGTTTCAGTAATAGGTCACGTAAGTTTTCACGCAAGAAAGTCTTGAAAGTAAGGGGAGCATGTAAGTTTACTATTGCTCACCTGCAAGTATCAGGGTCAACGCAATCACCATTTTGACATCCTTTGGTACAAATCGCTGCAAAGGGCGAAAGTGAATTTAGAGTAAAAGCTCACGATTCCTAGACTAGCGTTTCATAAAGTTGAATGGACCTAGGTTAGGAATTATGAAATTACTGGTATCGTTGAGCTAACTGTCCTTACGTATGTCACAGCGTTGACCCTTGTAGCCTTGGGGACACCTTGTCTCATCCGATTCGCAATCAGCAGATTCTAATTGGCTGTCTTCTGGATCGCACTTATTTTCACACAGTGGGCCAGAGAATCCGGGTGAACATTTGAAAGTGAACGTCGTGAGAACGCTGAGCCCGATTCCACGTTGTGTGGGCGCCATTTGAGAGTGTGGTTTTCCGTATGCAAGCGGTGAGCGACTCCCGAATGATTTCACTTTCCAGTGGTGGTGCGAAGTAAAGTTGACTTCATTTGAGGGTAGTCGGAAGAGCAATTTTGGTGGATCTATGCATCAAAACATAAAACGATTGCCAAAATGATTTATACTTCAAAAAGAAGTCAAACGGGATTAATCCCTACTTGTTTCACCGGTGCCATGGAGAATATCCAGTATTAGTGTAAAATTTTCCTAAAAATAAAAAATATGGTTATTAAGAGGGTATTTTAGTGCAAAATTTAGCCACCAACAGCAAATTACCCTCCACGTTGTTAGAACAGGAAAACTGATGTTGACCAGTGGCTTCTTCAGCTGTGCTAACGGAAGTGGAGCGACTTTACTCCCTAATGGGCATTCAGGTTGCCTGTTAGCATTCCAGACGGTCTGATATTTGTCCAGACAAACCTAAAGAACAGGAACTCGAACATAAGTCGCTTAATCGACAGCTTGTAAGAGCTTCTTGGGCTACGACAAATGCCTTAGTTTTCATTAATTTACTCAAAAAGTGTACTAATTGCAGAACATACCCGAACGAGGAATTGGCATTTGGCAAGACAGGCGGTGAAGGACCTGTCAGCATCTTCATCGTCATCCTGAGGGCAGCATTTGGCAGCTGGGAAGTTCTCGTCCAGTTGAAATCTTTCAACACGAATTTCGAATATGCCACCTCCCGCCACAAGGGTCTGAAACATCGCAGCGAAGGGTTTTTCTGGTTACAATTATTGAAGAATAAGAAGTGAAGGGAGGAAACGAAGGGGAGCATTTTTTTGATAGGCAAATACACTTCGTGTGAATCTTTGGCACAACAATGCGTTAGGTGTCGGTAAGCCGAGCCTGCAACCGCACATCATGTAATTAATGGGGGGAAAAGGACGGCAGCGGAAACGGCGTTTGAGTGATGGCACTTTGTTCCCGTCAATCACCACTAGCAGCCACTGCACGGTTAGGCAAAGGCGACATTGTAAAATTTAATGTTCACCGTTTTTTTAAAAAGTCTATGCAGTGTTGATTATTAATAAAATGAAATCTTTTTGAGATTTAACTATTATAATATCCCATGTTGCCTATAGTAATGCATAAATGGTTGGTGAAGTCATTATTAAAAGAGAGGAAATACAATAGGTTTTTTGAAGGCGGCACTTCAAAAGTAGGGCTAAGGCAGAGAGTTGAGGTTAAAGTCCAAAGGAAAAGAGGTTGCAGTGAATTAATATGTCCTATCTTTAATGCAATCATTCTAGATATTTTCTGTTGATTTGGAAGTCCCCGAATGTTGTTGCTCGTTAACAGCCATGTTGTAGTGAATTTTACTATATTTGGATACTTTACTAATTTTCGTCTTTATAAATGAATAAAATGAGAGTATTTATTCGGTTTGGAATGCACATTACAATCAAATATATTTTGACGAAATACCACATAAAATTGCAGCAGTTTATGACACCTGACAAGCAGGTATTTTCAGCTATTCTACAGGGATACAAATTGCCACAAAGACTAGTTAAAAACATCCAGTATAAAAACTGCCGGACTTAAAGTTATTACTCATTGACTATAGACTTTAAACTTTATCGTATCATCTATTCAATCGGTAACAATTGCTGGGGGCTACAGTAGCAATCCAGACTAGTTTTGAATCCACGGCAATTTTTCATCCACAAGAAATGCAGTTGACACGTAACAAATGGCATAAAAGGATTCTGTCACGTTTTGTGATTGATATTCCTTCACACCTTTAAAGGATGAAATTAGCCAGTCACATTACTGTTAACCTAAACGTTAATTTACCTTTTTTGTTCTAAGCCACTTGACATGACTTACTTACTTCACTGCTCTTTCAACACCTCATTTCATTTTATTCAACATGTGATTAAGGAAGAGTGAACTTTTGGATTGCATTTATCTGTGTTGATTCTATGAAAGTGGAATGCTAAGTGGATGAAGGATTCGTAATTGGCCAGCTCCCATCAGGGCCTCATATTCAATTGCCAAAGAAGAGGGAATAAGCGCACTTTCAAGGGGAAAACCGTAGTTTTTTTTGCCTATAAATACATCGGATTTCAAGAATTTACTGGTAATAAACTTAGAAAATTGAACTTGACATGTGAGTATTTGCTGTGCATCAACATTATCAAAAGATGCAAGAGTTTCGGCAACTGTTCTGACAATTTATTCAGGTGGCTATTGTTGTTCCAAGATGATCCCGGCCTTTCTCAAAGAATACAAGATGGTTATGGTGGAACTTTTTAATGACAAGGCTTAGGTAAGCACTTACTGCATCTCAAGTAAGTTGTACAAGCAATCATATCTTGTTGTAAGGCCTGGACTTCTCTGTAGGCTAATTCCTGTCAAAGAATACTTATGACATAGATCTGCTATTTCCTAGCTAATGAATGAATCCGACTTTTAAATGTCACTTCAATCTAGTGGCAAAGATAGACCATCAAATAAGCATCCATAGTGTTCTAAATATTGATATGGCCTTTGTTTGAAACATTTTTGGAAAGATCTAGTGAATTAAAGGCTAAGGCTTCCACGAAGTTATTCCAGACCGAAGTCCATCAAAACAAAGAAACTAATTGCAAAGATTTCCATAAATGAATTGTATCTGCTAATTCTGTTTTATTTTATGCCAAATAAAGCGAAAGAATGCCGATTTCAATGTGGGGCGTCAATTTGTTAGTAATGTTTTGCCAACAGCTAGTAGCCAAATCCGAGTATCTGAAAGTCTGAATCATGTTGCCGTATCTCATTCACACTGCGGGAACTTGATTGCTCTTATTTCCCTTTAACTCACAATCCACTAGAAGGACGAGAAGCAGGGCAGAATCCTCCAACTGATTACATTGCCTAATTAAACCTTTCATTGCTTGTTACGGCCAAATTTCAGCTCTTGGGGACGTATAACCCAGTATTTGTTAGTGCCGAATCCAAGTATTTAATTTAGATGCGTACATTGAAACGTGAACAATTAAGCATGTGTTAAGAGGACTGTGGAAACACAAACTCGTGCATAAGTGCAATCCAACAAACACGCATAGCAAATCAATCAGTCTTTCGCTTGTCAAAATAGTTTTCTTCACGAAATGCCAGATGTTCAGATATCACTGAACGGTCATTTCTAACACACGCACACATGCACACACAAACATCGCACTCGCCCTGTTTTCTTTCAGGCGAAAATAACCAAGAAAAATAGCCCAATTATTCATTTTGCTTTAAGTTAGTCGGGAGTTCTACCCATTCCTAACATTGTACCTTCCTTCAAGACCCATAGTTGGTAGCATGGCAGTACCTTAAGGAGGAAAAACCCTAATGCTAGTGGCACTCCCAAAGCCGGCTAGCTATGGTGCATTAGCAATTTAAATCCTGTCGGCTTGTACATGAATGCGCATGGTCCTATCACATGCTTTAAATTCTATTTAACTACCAGTTTAAACAGCATAAAATACTGATAAAGTGATAAAAAATCTGTGGACTGTACGAACTTACGCAAAACAACGTGAGGAAAACGTAGTATGCCAGTCGAGTTTTGATAGCCATTGCCAGCATAAATTCCAACTGCGTTGAACTCTGCCGGTAGGTGTGCGTGTGCGTACAGTGGTGATTATGTCCGCCTAAAATTTGACTGATCGCTCCTGTTTCCGCACCTTCCTCATATAAACCGGTGACGGACAGCTGTGATTGGCTCTGTCGGGGGGGAGAGGCTGGGTGTGTGTGCGTACGTGTGCGAATTCGGGGAAGGGTGAGGCCACATACACACGCATACGCTAAAAGGCTGAAGGTGGAGTTCTGACGGTCTGTTTGATAACTGAATGGGCACTCACTCACCTGTACACACACACATGCAGGAAATTTCCTCTCCCCTTTTTAACAATTTCAATTCCCTTTATGGGTGCTTGTGTGTATGTGTGCTTAGATATGGCCAGCCAATTCTGAGGCACTGCACTTCGGCAACTCCAGTGGCAATCCGCCAATCAGGGGAGGCACTTTACAGTGCTATGATTGGTCACACAGTTTTATCTGTGCTAGGTGTGAAATCTTAGTTTGTGTGTGCCGAGACTGCTCAATCTTACTGTCTCGTTAACCCAAATGTGGAGTTGCTAATCATTTTAAAGGAAAAATGCTCCTTCCTTATAGTTGACCTCAAAAGTGCATAAAATGGCTAATGCCTAATGAAATGAACACAGATGCCTTTTGCGTTATCAATCAAGCAATTAACATCTACCCTCTGTGTTATTAATGATATATGACAAGCATGGAAAGAGCGGAATCGTCAACCTATTTATTTCACAATATTAAAGTAGTCGGAAGCGGGAAAGCTTCCACATTAAAACTACGTTTCTCAATGAACCTATTGTGGAGTAATCCGGTAGATTTGGAAGATCTTACAATAATCGCCGCAGCAAAAAAAAGGATGAATTTGTATTGGTTTAGTCGAGAGCGCTTTCATTAATCGCATGAAAGTCTGATAAAAATCAAAGTTATTTGAATGATAGGAAATTTAGGAGCACTGTGCATCGCATTGTTATCGTAGCTCTGCATTCTAAAAACGGTCATAAGCAAGTATTAGAAAATTTTGTATTCTTCTCTAATAGGAAAGCGAAGAAATTAGATAATAAGCACAGCTAAAATTAACTTTTTTTCATTATCTAGTGAGTTTGTCTAGCTTGACATTACAAATTGAGTTCTAACGTCATTGTCATGGAAATATCACGATACTTTGCTGACCGCCTCAGTAAAAGTTCTTTTATAAAAGTAACAGTTTAAAGTTTTGTGGTTGATTTTAGCATTTGTAAGTTAATAATTCCATAATTTACTGTAAGGTTAAGGTATACACTTAATTTGTGTGATTAGAAAGCGTCAAATAGGGGATGAATTTGTTCGGACGAGAAAGTACAATCAATTGAGCAATTCTGAAGAGCAACCACGGTAAAAGGTGCAAGCGATCTAGATGATTGTTGCCTTGATCTGATAAAATTATCCAAAGCTACATCCTTCACAGCTTAAGCTTGATATATCATTTCTCAGTTCAACCGAGGTCGACTCCAGAGCCCTTTTTTACGTGGCTTTGTGTATCAATCTTACGGCCATCTTGCAATAAATGAAGATCTTTTAGACAACTTTACGCTGCAGTTTAGATAGTAATGTCACTAAACTACAATGGCTTGTTCGGAATACCTTTTCAAAATTGTATTTAACATAGGGATGGAGCATAGCTGTTGAATAGCTGTCTCATAAGCTTAGGCAGGGGAAGCTAAGAATTCAGGATAATTTTAGTGATTAAAGAGAGGTTTGCGCAAAACATATTTTTTGCATCAGTGAAACGTTCAAACAACACAGAATACCTCCAGTGTGTAAGTTCGAGAAATATCAAACGGGAGGGCGGACTGTCGTGCAAATTCAACGTTAACAAATTATTGCTCTCCGAAATAAAATTAGGATGCGATTACTATCACCCCTTAATTGATGGGGTCATAGTGAGCATAACCTATGATTCCATTTTAATGATCTCATCTGAAAGTAGCACTGATTTTGACATTTCTTTACCTACATAAATAATTATTACTCTCAGTAAACAACCATTTCCCGATTCTAGGCGCAACTTTGTGTTCCTTGGTATCGGTTCAATACAAGGTTAAGATAACGAATAAAAATGAATAAAATATTAAAAGGAGTGGGAAAAGTTACTCTATAAGGAAGAAAGGTTTTGAAAAAATTGAAATAAAGCCTGAAGGCTGTCTAACATTGGCTGCAGAGGGAAGTTTTATTTTCTAATAAATAACCTGTATGGTTTTCTAGAAGCAATTTAATGGTTAAAGTTGATTACTTTAAATATTAATGTGAATAGATTAATCATTGCACGTGGAACAAAATCCGCTGTGTAGGGGTCCGTCAACTTAGGAGGAACCACAAATTTTAATATTCATTTTACGTCCTATTACTTAGTCATCTTTGCAACCGGAGATATAACACCCTCCATTGGTTGGCTGATTAGCTGACTGTTTCTGCAAGTGACTGCTGATCGGCAAATAGAGGTGATGGGGAACTCGTGAAAAGCTGCCGTGACGATAAGGAATAAGAACCGGTAAACGCAACTTTCTTTTCAATTCCAACTGACGGACCAGACGATGGTAAAAAGTGGACCCATAAATGAAGCGACGTCGAAAGGCGGAATGAGAGATGAGATCTGTCTCCATGCTGGATTTTTATTTTCCAGTCGGTGCGGCCAGTCACCGTTATCCAGAGACCTTGATTTTGCACTAAAAAGAGGAAAATAGATAAAGACGAACTGTGTCATCCTTTCCATAAAATCGGTTTATTTGAGAGACTTAGATACAATCCCCCGCATCTGCTACTTTGCCTATTTTCAAAGTAATGATTAAGGGAGATTTTGAGAATTGCAACATAATAATTCTCACACATCGATGTACTCAAACCCCTATGGGACCTTCAATTACTTAGCCTTGCTAAACGTCGGGATACAATTTGCTTTTTTGGTTAGAAGATTTGCATCACTACGACTTCATGCATTTCAATTCGGTGGTACACAGCCGGTAGTTAGCAGGTGACAGCTGGATTTATTACCTATTTATGACCGGAAAGTCGCGTTTCCTTGACATGCATATAAAGCAGGTTTGACCTGAATTTCAAAAATATCCCAACATGACCCAGTTACTAAGGTGATATCTAAATAATGTGTTATTAAGTAGAAATTGCAGCATGCTTGTCGCAAATACTAGGTTCCTGTCTATATGTGTTAGGTCTCGAGGGCATAACATGTGTGAATTTCATTTCCATCGTTGAAACTATTCCATTTACCTAAAAGAAATGAACAACTTGTGATGCATTCAAATTTGGCCTCTGTTTAGAAGTAGTCTCAAGCAGTCTCGCATGGGCGTTAGTGCGAAACTAATTTGGTTCCCGAGGTGGAAAGGACGCACAGGTAGAAGTCTCGGGGATCCACTTCCGCAGCCACCTTTTTTCGCGCTACTGAAATTAAGTTTGAGTTGAAAAAGTGGGGAAGCGCGCTAAAAACAAAAACCTAAAAGGACGAAAAAAAACTAGCATCGAAGTGAATCACAGTGGGTCACCATCGGTTCCCTCGAAAAAAATCGCACTCCAGCAACAAGCCAACTCGTAGGCCCACTTAGTCACAATGGTATCGTAGGCATGACGCCTTATGTATTAACGTTTATCATTGGTTTAGGTGCCGAATGCATTGCAAGCTTATAGAATTATGCTGAAAGAGAAGAACCACAATAATGAATTTCAACTGCGTGAGAAGGGCAAAGGAAAGGCACGTTTGTTCTGTATTTAAGCAGAGGAGGGGAAGGTGGGCTCCTAGAGTAACACATTGGCAGGCAAAGGCAAACAATAGTAGAGGCATCACACAATTTATTATCAGTGGGCTATACTGCCATGTCATTTATCATCCTTAAAAACTACTAGCTGTCTTCCTTTTTTAACCTATCCACTACCAGTCTGCCGATCTGCTAATCAATGACCATTGGTAGAGGTAGTTTAATTGTTTCGAATGCCAATGGGATTTGATAATTACCAATCCACTTATTTAGCTCTTTCAGTATTTCCTAACTAGTCTTCATGAGCCTCAAATTAGGTTTAATTAAAAAATTTACCAGTGTTTGAGACAATTTTTACTCACAGGTCTGTCACTGCTTCTGTAACTTTGGTACTTTAATTGAAAATTTGTGTAAGAATTTAACAAACCTCTTGTGAGTACCGGTGGTCAGTATGGCATTTAAGGTAGAAGAGTTTCAATGGATTATAAGTCACGAAGAGACTGCCGGAAATATAGTTTTGTGTAAAGTTTCTTGGCTAAAATTTTCCGCAAATTCCAATTTTTAATAGCAATAAAAATGCATCCCGAGATATCTATACATAATATAAATCTGAAACTTTGCTGTAGGCTATGGAATCCTCTTTCCACTGACAGTTCATCTGTAAAAGAGGTGGATTTATTTATTTGGAAAATACGTCTTAGGCTTGATCACAACTAAGATTCCACTGCTCAATGCGTAGTCCTTGAGGTTTCAATTGTTATGAGCCATAAGGTAATGGACAATGATCGGTAAGACTTGAAACTAATTCAATTTGTACCTCAAATTCATGCAAATTAACCAGGAAAACACGGATGTGTCCTTTTACGTTGAAAGAGATCGTGATTAAAATAGATGACACAGAGATAAGGCTGAAGTGTAGTACATAAATATTTTAAGGGTTTCCTTTAAAATTTATCAGCCATATAGGCATATTTTGACTTTTCTGATGCAGGATTTGGGTTTCCTAGACAAACTGATCATCTAAATTGCATGTACAAGATATTGAATTATTTAGTCGTCCCAATGGAAGTCATAAATGGAGTGAAGGTAATCACATTCTTAGATTCAAAGAGTGCAATTCGCTCTCCCACTGCAAAGTACTGCTAAAAAATATTTTAAGGTAAGTCTTTTAAGGTGATATCACACTTACTCGAAAAAAGTATCAGACCCAGACGCAAAAAAAGGCTAGTAAGCATCACTCTGGCTGAAAGTCAAGCTTTTTGTATTAACCAGGCAGTTTAAAGGGTTTGTATTTAAAGGCAGGATAGAGAATGAAGAAAATGGAGAGAGAGGAGGGGAAAAAGGACAGGAGCCAGTGCACGAACAAACGAGATAGAAATGGGCCATGACCGCTGCCTTGCTGGTGATGCTAACGTCGCTGATTCACATTGATGGAGGCCGTCATCTCTCGCTGCTCCTTCTCT